GCATGCCCAAAGACTTGTCTCCCAGGAATTCTAGATCCTCTTGTGTTTTGAATATGAAATGTTCCCCATAGGCTCATGTCTTTAAACACCTGGTATCCAGCTGGTGATGCTCTCTTTGCTTCCTATATGTAAATTCATTATGATCAGCCAGCTTCCTGCTCCTGCCTTCCTTCCTGTTACCATGTCATCCTGCTGTGATGAACTCTGTCCCTCTGGAACTGTGACCTTTCTCCCTTACGTTGTTTTTGTCAGGGTGTTTTATCACAGCCACAGGATTGCATCTAGGACAGACCCCATCAGGTTTACAGTTGAGACAACCATCACCTCATCACCATTTGTTTTGTTTTGTTTTCTATTCTGTGTGGTTTTTCTGTGCGTCTACACTTGTCCTGCTGTTATACCTGTTGATATCACATAACTACATGGTGACCACTTTGGTAAAATGCATTGTACTTTTCTCAAGAGGATGAGGGTGTAATTATTTGGGGTAGCACAAACATCCATTTTACTTAAATGAGGAAATGTGCAGATCAGGATACATACTTTGTGGATCTTCTTGAAGTGGTTAAGGAAATTGCCAGACTATTTCAAAGAATTAAAAAAAAATCTTGGCATTAATGCAAATGAAGACCTAAGAGAGTCATGTAACTTTCAGAAAGGGAAAATAAAATGTTTTCTGTGTCTTAGGGTTTCTGTTGCTGTGAAGAGACACCATGACCATGGCAACTCTTAGAAAACATTTAATTGGGGCTGGCTTACAGTTTCAGGTTTGGTCTATTATTGACATGGTGAGAAGCATGGCAGTATGCAGGCAGGCATGATGATGGAGAAGGAGCTGAGAGTTCTACATCTTGATCCACAGGCAGCAGGAGAACTGTGTACTACACTGGGCAGAGCTTGAGCATATGAGACCTCAAATAGCAGCACTCCCTAAGCATTCAAATGCATGAGTCTATGGGTGCCATTCCTATTCAAACCACGACACCTATAAACCCAGGATTTTGGAATACATTAGGAATTGGGAGCTACTAGCATTTTCTCAAGTCCATTTCCTTTGATACGTTATGGTACAGCTGTAAGTGGATGTGCTAATTTTCACATTAATGAATTTTTCTCTGGGCAGGATGCTGCTCCTATATACTTTTGGTCTTGGGAACCAATTAAAGCACCCTCAGACCTTTTCTGCAACTATAAACCTAAGGCTGTTTCTGACTAGAAAAAAGTAAATGAACATTATTGACTCTCACAAGAAAACATTACACAGTGAGAACTTCCTAGCTTGTGCCATGGAGTCTCAGAGATGTTAAAAGTACCTTATTTCTAACTCCTGAGGTCTGTGCACTACAAAAATGTGGATTGAAACAGCTAGATTTAATTCCTTTTCTAATTTTTTTTATATGGGTTAAGTTTTGACTTATAGAAAGTTTCAGAGGTGCTCCTGTGCTCCCAAACAGCCCTGTTCTCTGTGATGTTAACATCTTACCCAGCTGTTACTTACTCGCTTGCCAGTAAGAAGTTACTGTTGGTCTGTGAGCTGACTCCAGACTTCATTTAGATGTTACCGCTCTTCTATTACTGTTCCATTTTGGTTCCAGGATTCCACCCAGCATATCATGTTGCTGCTCGTCATCAGTTCTCCTTAGTCTCCTGTGGTTTGTGACAGTTTCTCAGCCCTTGCTTGGTCTCTCAGCATCCATTTCTTAGATATGGTGATGCCTGCCCTTTGCCCTGTTCTGTGGGAGCCAGCTGTTAAGTCTTGTTTCTCTTTTGCTCCCTAACTCTGCCCTACCATTTCCCCTTTTAGATCTCTCTGTCTTGTACCTCCCATATGCATCACCATGGGTTCCTTCTCGGCTTCTCTTCCCCACAAAACAAACCTTTGTTTTTTTTAACTTTGTGTTTTATTTATTATTATTGTGTATATTTACAAGTGTGTATGTGCCATGTAGCACGTGTGAAGAACAGAGAACAGCTTTGTGGAGTCCGTTGTCTTCTCCTACCATGTGGATCCCAGGAACCAACTCATGTTGTCAGGCTTGGCAGCGAGCACTTTCATCTGCTGAGCCAGCTCGATATCACAGCAGAGGTGTTTTTGTTGACCACAGTGCCCCCTGGCCCTGGGTACTTGCTACATTTTCTGCCCACATAGATCTTTAAATTATAACTAAAAGGTGAATTCATGTTCAGATTTTAAAGGTTAAGATGAGCCAGCCTTATACTTAGCTAGTGAAAAAGCGCTCATGAGCCTAACACAAAGAACATAGCGAACTAAAAGGATGATGTGAAAGCAGACAAACCATTTGTCATTGATATGCATCTCAGTTACTAGGCATCAGTCACCTCTCAGCACTGTGACAAGTTAGTTAATTGAGGAAGGATTTGCTTTGGATCCTGATTTCAAAGAAATGGTTGCTTGGCTTTTATCTGGGCCTGCCATTGAAACAGTCCAAGATGGCAGAGGGAAGCTGCTCACCTCATGGCAGCCACAGTGGCCGCCTCCCTCCTAACAGCCTTTTCACCTGTGAATTCATCAGTGCATGGTACTCTCCTGAGCTCCTCTCTGTAGCCCACTGCCCGGGACCAAACATTAGCACCTAAGTGTTTTGGGGACACTTCACATCAAGCCATAGCGAAACCTGATTCTGCTGTCCACAATGTGCCAGTTAAGATTATTGTTCACTTCTCACCTAAAGGCTTACCGTAGGCACACAGCTATTTGGAATCTTCAGAGCAGAGCTAGCTATGAAGTGTTAAACACTAACTTCCAAGGGTAGGTGAGGTTGAAGCAGCTGACATATGTGACTAGTGACACTGGACATCTAAAGTGATGCCAAGTATTGGGAACCAACTAGACCAGTGAAGTGTTAGTTTTGGTGTTTTGAGCCACCTGTATCTTTCTTTCTTTATTTTTTATGGCTAACACTTGAAAAGTCTGTGTTACTAACCAGCTATATAGACCACGGCAGTAATAGGATAGGATATTTTGGAAACTGATTTTCATGACATTCAGTATTTGACAAAATTTTAATTAAAGAAGCAGAGTTGCTAATAATCACTCAAGAGCAAAGAAGACTTCTGTTGGGTGATTAGATGATTAGAACACAGATTATACTCTTTCCTACCAGGATGCTCAGCTTAAGACTGTCCCCACATGGCGGATTGACACTGACAAACCACTGTCACTTTAAAGAACGGCAGCTCGGAAGGCAGACCATCGCTCCAACAGGACAGAGCGATCAGTTGACTGCCACAATGTGGGTGTTGTTGCTGTTGGGTATTTACCAACCAACTTCTCACCTATCCTCTTTTGCAGCCACAGGATGAATTATGTAAAGTGTGGGCTTTACTTTTTCTTACTATTACTGCTAATGAGGAGTTGTGCAGAAATTATAGGTTACAGCTAGGTTCAAAACGAACTATGATTATAACTGGCTGGTTTCAGGCATGGTTGCAGTTTGTGGAAAGATGAATGCTGCTTTTCTGAAAATTGTTATCTAAACAAAGTACATGATGCGTAGCTTTACTCTAACCTGAAGTGGTCCCAAGCGCTCCTCATGCAGATAGAACATTTACCTGTGGTTTCCAGATAGCTGGCTTCTGTGGATTCAGTCACACTTTCAATGACAAATGCAAATTCTGAGATGTCCAAAGTGATCTATAACCACACAGTGGCTGGATTAGTGGTGTGTGTGTGTGTGTGTGTGTGTGTGTACAGGCACATTTGTGAATGGGTGTGATTGCCCAGGTGTGCACATGTACAGACCAGAGGTTGAAATTGGTGGTCCTTTATTGCACTCTACCTTATTTTTTGAGACAGAGTCTCTCACTGAACCTGGAACTCACCCTTTGAGCTAGACACGTGCTGCCATGTTGTTGTGTGAGGGATTTTTCAAAGACACAACACATATGTATTTACTCACTGCAGAAAGGGAACCCATAGCAGAGTACACAGCAGTGTCTAACTTGGTGAATCAGTGGGGTTTGTGGGGGTTACTAACAGGAGTTTTAAGAGTTTACTTACAAGTAGCAGGGACAACTCAGAAGCAAGTGTGTAGACTCAGAAGCTGCAGTCCTAGAGCCGTCTGCACAGCATGTAGGCAACTCCCCAGGCCCAAGCATCTCCCTTCTGCAGCATGTAGGCAACTCCCCAGGCCCAAGCATCTCCCATCTGTAGAATGTAGGCAACTCCCCAGGCCCAAGCATCTCCCCCCTGAACGCATGTAGGCAACTCCCCAGGCCCAAGCATCTCCCTTCTGCAGCATGTAGGCAACTCCACAGGCCCAAGCATCTCCCCCCTACACAGCATGTAGGCAACTCCACAGGCCCAGGCATCTCCCCTCTACGGCTGCTGTTTAGACCTTCCTCCCAGGCAGTTCCTGCTCTTTCTGTAAAGCTGGGCCTTCTAGAATTTTCAAGTTTTTGCTTTCCCAGATGTGTGACATTTTCTTTATCTCCTGAATCTTGTGAGCCTCCTCATCCCTCCTAAGGGGAGCTTGTCATTTCAGAGGACACTACTATGCAACATCGTCCCCGAGTCTGGCTTTTCTGTGGGTGCTGGGGAACTGAACTCAGGTCCTCATGGTTGTGCAGCAAGTACTTTACCCACGGAACCATTTTGTTGTTCTTGTTTTGCTTTGTTTTTGTTTTTTGAGACAGAGTCTCACTTTGTAGCCTGGAACTCACTGTGTAGCCCAGGCTAACCTTGAATTCATGTCTATCCTCCTTGCCTATGTTTCCTAAGTGCTGGAATTACAGGTGTTAGCCTGAATTCGTTTTTCTTTTAAAAAGAAGCCCAATAGATTGCAGAAAAGATTCTTTCCATTCCCCTTTTTTTGGTTTTCTTTGGTATCACTCTGCCTGTTTGATTCTATTCCCCATTCTTTAAAACTCTAACCCCACTCCATCTCTATTACCAAGTGTACTGCCCTCCCACACAGGAAGGTGGAGCTGTCTTTCTCATGTTGGATGATCATTCAGGTGACCTTTCTTCTCTCACACAGTGATCTGGAGCCTGAGTGGCTGGACAGTGTGCAGAGGAATGGAGAGCTGTTCTACCTGGAACTGAGTGAGGATGAGGAGGAAAGCCTCCTTCCGGAGACACAGACCGTGAACCATGTCAGGTTCAGTGAGAAGGAGGTCATCATTGAAGAGGATGATTCCAGAGAAAGGAAGAAGTATGAACCCAAGCTCAAGCGCTTCACCAAGATCCTGAAAAGCAAAAGACTTTTACCTAAGCGCTACCACAAAAAGAGCAGCAATGACAATGGGCCGGTGTCCATTCTGAAGCATCAGTCCAACCAAAAGACCGGAGTCACCGTGCAGCAGCGGTACAAGGATGTGAGTGTCTATATCAACCCCAAAAAGCTGACGGTCATCAAAGCCAGGGAGCAGCCCAAACTCCTGGAAGTGCTGGTGGGAATCGTCCATCAGACCAAGTGGAGTTGGAAAAGGAGTGGGAAGCAGGCCGACGGAGAGAGGCTCGTGGTGCACGGCCTGCTGCCAGGAGGCTCTGCCATGAAGAGCGGTCAGGTCCTGGTTGGTAAGTGCTGCAGCAGCTCCGGCCCTTGTTTGCAGAGGTGCGTGGTTAAGGGCAGTGTCCCGTGACCATGGCGTAGAAGGCAGAATTTACAGTCTCCCTGTAAAGCTGGTCCAAATGGTCAGAAAAGAAGTACTTCCGTGTAACAGAGACATGCGCAGCTAGTTCAGACCAAGAGCAGCCTAGCTCATTGTAGGTTTTGAAAAATATAATTTTATTTCATCTTGCTTATGGTTGCTGACAAAGAGAAGAAAATAAGTTGATTATACAGTGATCATTTAGGCTGAAACAGCTGTATCCAATAACATGATACAAAAATATGTAATTTATGAATAAAAATACTTTTAAATTGTATGTTTGTACTTGAGGACACCAAGTTCTTGGAGCGGCTGTAGACTGTTTCAGTTGACCTTCTTAATGACAGTGGTATTATACATAAGTTCCTTTGTAAGGGCACTTCTCTAAAATATCCCAGTTTTGAGAGGAAAAAACGAGTTATTTTGGACATATTAAGATGCGTATTTTTGCGTTGCTGATTTTAAGCTATGTGATATAATGTTCATGTTAATTAGCAACCTTATTCTACTTTATAATGATAGGCTAATCAAATGTGAAAATATATCCTTTTTTACAGTTATTTATTTGTTTGTGCCTGGGCACATGTAGCTGACATGTGTGGAGGTCAGAGGACAGCTTGTGGGCGTGGGTCTCTCCTGCCATCATGTGGGTTTCTGGGCTTGGACCTCAACTCACCAGGCTTGTTGGCAAGTGCGTTTACTCACCGAACATCTCCCTGGCTCTGAAAGCGCATCCTTAACAAAACTTCAAACTTGTAACCATCCGAAAATGTGCCAGTCTTTTCAGCTGACCCAGCTTAAAACAGGAGTTTTAGAAACATTTTAAAATGTGTCTGAGTCGAAGTCTAAATTTCATTGTTTGTTCATCGATTCAGAACACATTTGAGTGTCTATTAAGTGTCAGGCATGCGAAGATTACAGTGATACTGTGACTGCTTATGTAAAGAGCTCGTGTAGTCATGGAAGAAGCATGTTAGAAATAGGCAGACAGTGTCACAGCGTGACGGATGATATGACAGAACATCACAAAGCTAGTTCTAAGGAGACATGTCAGCATATCTCTCAGAGCGTGGATTCCAAAATGCATCTCCACATTATCTTACAATGTGATGTGGCCTAGCCAAAACAGCAGCTGTGATTCAGTGAGGGACCCTGTCTCAGGCAGAGAGTGATAGAGGAAGACACCAACTTCTTGTCTAGCCTCTACATATACAGGGAACCAACTCCCACACACTTGTGCACATAACACACACACACATATACACACGCATGCACTTATTATGGAGAAAAGGCCACACAAGGAAGGTAGAACATTGAATTCTGGGGAAAGGCTTGACCTTCCAGTGTTTCATCTGTCTGCACTGGCATTCATCTAGCTGCTGCAGCTCCAGGAGCTTTTAGTGGATGAACACCTAGTTCGAGGAAGCCAGCGAAGTTACTGACCACTTAGGAAGTGCATGGCAGTATAGAAAGACACTCAGGCAGCAAGAGTGCTGTTCCATCTCATTGCTGTTCTGCCAGATGTGTGGTCTGGATACAAGTGCATGTGGAAAGGCTTCCCACATCCTCCAGGGAGAGCTGAGGATAGGAACATTTAATTCAGAATGTCCGTGTTGGTATATGTGGATTCGAGGAGCTTCAGAAAGAGCAACCCCATGCAGAGACTGTGCATGGACTTCAAGGACTGCGCCCTTGAATAAAACAAACTGCTGTTTTTCACAATTCAAGACCCTCAGATACGCTTGTGATCATGAAAAACCAGGGGTAACCGCCAAGCTGTTGTCCATAATCTGTCCATGTTGTATACTTCTTTATATGCCAGATATTCTTTTCAGCTTTAGGGGGATTTTGTTTCTGAATCTTTAGTTATTTTTCAATCTACTATTTTAAAGTGTCAACAGTGTTTTATATAATGTCTTGGATTGTTTTTGTGTGTCTGTGTGGTTTTTATGGTTATGTTCCCCTGACACACACTTATCCATTATCTCTAATACTAGCGATATAAATTACATAACACCTCTTAGAAAGTTTCAATTCATTTTATTTATTTTTCAGATTAGGCTCCAAGGGGATGCACTGTTACTAAGTTAGCTTTGCATGCAAACATTGGGTATGCGCATAAACACATGGAGCCTTCCTCACATGTGTACACAGTGCTGGCCTTGAACTCCTGAGTCTCCTGCCTGCACATCCCAAAAGCTAGGATTACAGGCATGTGCTATAAAACCTGGCTCACATTTTCCTTAACCAATAAAAAGGTATCTTTTTCCTGTGTCTGCATTTGATGACATGAGATCTCTCAGGATCTTAGCTCCATCAGTGATTGAGGTTGTCGGCCTCGGTATTTAGGTGACCACAGTTAGGACACTCTGCACAGTTAGTTGTCTACTGTGGCGATGTGCGCACACACATCTTGATTGCTGGCCTCTCTCTGTGAGTGCGGCTTGTCTGCTGAAACTGCCTGTTGTCACTAGTAAGACAGGCCAGTGATGTTTCTCTTGTGTCCTTTCACAACAACAGAGCCTATCCTGCATTTATTTTCTTTGCTTTGTCTCGGAAACTTTCTGTCCTTTGGGGGAGGTGCCACCTACATTTCTGTTTCTAGGTGTTTTCTTAAAGCTTGTCAATCAGCTGAAAGCGCTAGCCAGCTGGCATCTTCAGACTGGAGCAAACAGAATTTACTCTCTTACCTATACTGCCTTGGTGGGGCTTTTTTCTCCAATATTACTCATTTTTGGTCATAACTGGATTTCTTTTCCCTCAGGGACTAAACCTGAGTCTTTTGGCCGTGCCTTCTTGAAGGGGATGAAGCAGGAGGGGTGGGTGGTACCAGTGCCAGGTCTGCTGCACTTCATGGGCTTGTAAGTGATGGAGAACTCATCTCTAGCTTGATTTCCACCTGGCTGAAAGTCTTGCCATCATACATGCCCACCATACTTTCTCCCATTTGGGGCAGGATGATTGAGTTCCTCAGGTGAGTCTTTACCACCTAGGGCTTCTCCATGGGTGGCACCTCCTTCTTGGCCTTTCTCAGGCACTTAAGTAGGGAGTCCTGCTTCTGAGCAAGCGGCCTCAGATGGGAGCTGTCCAACTGCATCAGCTGCTCATAGGAGATAGCCAGCAGCTGGTTCAGGTCCATAGCATGTAGGTGAACTTGCAGACTCTCTGTTTCTTCTTCTGCTCCACTTCCACCATCTTGTTGGCTTCTGGGAGTCGGGGCAGGTGGATAACTGGATTTTTTTTAAAGATAAGAAAGGAGAGAAAGAAATCATACATTATCTATTTATAAATAATATTTATCTATTCATTGTTTTTTATTGTTTTTTGAGACAAGACTTTACTATGTAGTCTATAGGTGGATCTGAAGCATTTTATTCTCCTGCCTCAGCCTCCCAAGTGTTGGGATTACAAATATACACCATCATGCTCATTTCACACATGAATTTTCCAGATTACTCTCCTCTCCACCCTCCTGTGAAGGCACTTTCTGATAAAGAATGAAGATTTTAATTCCAAGCTGTTTTGTATCGTTTCTTAAGTCCTCAACTGTGGATTTGTTTTCTATGACATATATAGCTTATGTTTTTCTTTAATTTTTTTGAAGATGTGTGCTCATTTTTCAGAAATGTTTTTGAGGTATGATATCCATTCATAAGTGTACATTGATCATTTTGATGTGTGCATTGTCCTGTTTAACTGCCTTCTTGGGTCAAGAGTCAACATTTTCAGTACCTAGATGGTTAAAGGTCGGTCAGCATTCCTTCATAAGGCAGCCTTGAGCCTTCCGTGAACAGAATTGATTTAGCTTGTTCTTCAACTTTATGTGAATGGGAGTGTGTGTGTGTGTGTGTGTGTGTGTGTGTGTGTGTGTGTGTGTGTATGTATGTGTGTGAATATATATGTGTGTGTGTGTGTATGTATGTATGTATTCTCTTGTATCTCATTATATACATTCCCTGTGTCTTTTCTGTGATTCAAACTACATCTCTGAGAAGTATATCTCTGTTGGGCTGTGGAATTGGCTCAGGCTCTTGCTGTGTGAGGTCGTGTGTTCAGATCCCCAGCACCCGTGTAAAGCCAAATGCAGCGGTATCCATGGGTGATCTTAGTGCTCCTGTGCCAGGAGGGAGGTTGAGACAGGGGTCCCTGGAAGCTCATGGCCAGCTAGTCTGGCATGTGCAGCAGTCGTGAACAAGAGGCCCTGTCTCAAGCAAAGTGGAAGGCAAGGACCAGCATCCAATGTTGTCCTGCGACCTTCATGTGTATACTGTGGCTTGCATGCAGCCCCCCACCCCACACACAGCGATGTCTTCTTTATAAGAGAAAGAAAGGGAAGTTCCATGTGGCTGCCATGTAGAATTCCTTGGCATTGTTGTTATGTTTAGTTCTGGTGTTTTCTTGAGTCCGGTTCTCACTGTGTAGCCCAAGCTAACCTAGAATTCACCCCCTAGTACAGGCTGATCTCAGACCTACAGTCCTCCTGCCTCAGCCCTCAAGTGATACGATTATAGGCATATCTACTTTTGTAGAATATTATTTTAAGATGTGTTACATTTGTTTATGCTGTGGAATATTTGTTTAATGATACAAAGATGTGTTGCATTCTTTTATGTTGCATTTGTTTAACTCTGTGAAGCTGTATTACTTTGCATGTCTAAAACACCTGATGCCCTAATAAAGTGCTGAATGGCCGATAGCAAGGCAGGAGAAAGGATAGGTGGGGCTGGCAGGCAGAGAGAATAAATAGGAGAAGAAATCTGGGAGAAGAAAGAGCAAGTGAACAAGGAGAGGAGGATGCTAGGGGTCAGCCACAGAATAAGAGTGAAAGTAAGATATACAGAAGTTAGGAAAGGAAAAAGCCCAGAGGCAAGAGGTAGATGGGATAATTTAAAGTTAAGAAAAGCTGGCAAGAATCAAGCCAAGCTAAGACCAGGCATTTATAAGTAAGAACAAGCCTCCATGTGATTTATTTGGGAGCTGGGTGGTGGGCCCTCAAAGAGCTAAGAGTAAAAAACAACCAACAACAGTCTACCATGCTTGGCTAATATTCCATTTTATATAGACTTTTTTTTTATTGCATTGTTGTTGAATCTTTTTTTCCAACTGAAATATTTGAAATGTTTTTGTAAAAGATGGGTTTGGTTTTATGAACACCTAATATGTTGTTCTCTATGAATTTTCATCTTCTTTTTGGAATGGGTTTTTATTTCCCTGTTTGTACTCCTTGTGACCCCCAGACTTTCTTACAGACAGCATCTCTCTCTATCCTGTTCTGTTCCCCACAGTGTTTCTCTTCTCATGCTTTCCTGCTATCAGGAAGAGGCTAGAGCACTGTTTGTTGGAAGGACAGGATTTTAGTGTCTCCTCCCTGGGAAGCCGCTGCTGCAGGTACTTCCTTCTGCAGAAGTGGGACAGAGGCATTTACAGCCGCTATTCAGGAGCAAACTGCTCCTCACTGTTAGACCTGGGCCCATGTTCTCATCCCCACTCAGACTCTCTGGCCTGCTGTGTTGGTTGCTTCTATAGATGGAGACAGCACCAAAGGATTTATTTCTCATTGATGAAAAAAAAAGAGGAAAAGAAATTGTTTATGCTATTCAAAATATAATTTAGACATGAGTATCACTCTGCAACAGTGTATAATTTAACCCATTGACTTCATTTCTGGACATTTATCTTGAAAAACCGTTCAGAACGGATAGGCAAATTAAAGCTGGTAGGTCACATCAGGCTTACCGCCTGTGTTTATACAGCTTGTCTAAAAGGCTTAAATAATGTACAGCATAGGAAACATCTTTGGAACCCAAAGGTGGGTGAATAAAATATTATTGCACACAGCCCACCTCTTTACCTGTTGTCTGTGGCTGAGTTCAGGATGGAGCTAGTGGAAGAGTTGGGCAGTTGAACACAGACCATTTATCTACCGAAGCATGAAATGTTTTCTGTATGGTCCTTAACAGAAGAAGTTTGTAAAGCTAGATTAAAATAGAAAAAAAGGAGCTAGGAACATGAGGACCTGAGTTCAAACATCCAGTATCCACATTTAAAAAAAAAAAAATGGAGGCATTGCTCCCAGATGCCCTTGTAACCCCATTGGTATGGGAGGCAGGAGGATCTCTGGGGCTGGCTGCCAGGCCTAGCTCCAGGTTCAGTAAGAGCCTGTCACAAGGGAATATGGCAGGCAGTGACAGAGCAGAACATTGTTCACATTGGTACACAGACTCAAATACACGTGTGCATATATCACACACACAAATGGAGGAAGAAAAACTGTGGGCACAAAAATGTTTATTGAGACACAAGTTAGTGTTTTAAAAATTTTAAGCACAAAAATGTCAAACAAGTGTATGGATATTGACGTTATAAGTTACGTCATTTGACCAATAAAATTACAGTTCTATAAACTATGTACCAGCACAAAAATGTTTGCTGCTTGAGAGGCTTAAAAGTATAAAAACATCTCATTCTTCATTTTGGTGAACATAGTAAAGATGACTTAGTGTTCAAAAATAGTCATAGCTGGAGCAATAAGGCCGGCAGAGGCTCCAGAACTAATCTACTGAGGGGTGAAGTTGTGTACTAGTAAGCCACAGATTCTATGTGACCATCTCAGCCTACCACAGTGGAGGCATTCTTTTTTTTTTCCATATTTTTTATTAAGAAATTTTTTTATTCATTTTACATACCAACCACAGATCCCCTCTCTTCCTTCTTCTCACCCTCCCCAGCGTCTCCCCCCACCCCCAACCCACCCTCCACTCCCTTCTCTGACAAAGTAAAGCCTCCCACCGGGTGTCAGCAGAGCCTGGTACCTTCAGTTGAGGCAGATCCAAGCCCCTCCCCCTGCATCAAGGCTGTGCAAGGTGTCCCACCATAGGTAATAGACTCCAAAAAGCCCGCTCATGCACCAGGGATGGATCCTGGTCCCACTGCCAGGGGCCCCTTAAGCAGATCAAGCTACACAACTGTCTCGCTTAAGAGGCATTCTTTTCAATTTTTTTTCTTTACATTTTATTTAGAGAGAGTGTGTGTCCTTGTCATACTGTACAGTAAGCAGACTTGAGCTGTGCTCAAGAGAGAGACATTTTCTCTGACATTCAAGCTGTTCACTGTGCAAATACTCTTGAAAGGAAGACAGAGGACAGACCTGGTGCCTTCGTTTGTAAGACGTGCAGAACCTGTTGTTATTTTTTTTAACCCACTTACACACTCACTGCCCCCTCAAGCTTCCTGAGAGTAGAGAGTTGGTCTTTGTAAACTCTTGTCTTGATTCTCTTCTGCAGTAGTTTAGGACAGGACTTGACTTGTAAAGTTTGGAATGACGAGACAGTGTCCTAGATGTATTTGTGATTTTTTTTTTAACACAGCTTACTGGGGCTTTGATATTACTTTTCATTATGTTCTTATAACCTGAAGGTCCCAGAGAAAAAGCTACCCCTTTGGCTGAAGACTACAGGACTGAGTGACTGGTTAGAACTTTGTGATTGAGGAGATTTGGAGTGTTGAAGGTGCAGACCCAAGTTGTCTTGGACTGTCTCTGCCCTAATCGTCGCCCAGCCAGTATCTGTCTCTTAGGCTCACATTACTTTCCCATGTACAGCCTTTTGACTGTCAGCTAAAGCTTTGGCAGTGTATTCTTAGCAAAACACGAGCTTCCACTAACCCCCAAGTTCCGACTCTCCCCAGAAAGCATCTGATACTTATGGAGGCTTGCCCTACCCTGCTGTGCTAGCCCACATACCTGGGACCCTCACCAGTGAATTGGTAACTGCGCTGATTTACAGCTTCCTTTTATTTTGGCTTATGTTCACTTCCGCAGCAGAACATGTTTGGATCACCCTGAATCTGAGTTTGTGGACCATGATCACTCATATTTAACCCAAGAATTAATTGTCTCTTACTGTCTTTGGGCAAGAGTTATGTATCAATAGTTTGAAAGTAAAATTTCGTTTTAATAATGATTTTGATTTTGAAATTAGGTAGAAGACTGTTTGAAGAACAGTCATGGGGAAGAAGATTTTGACTAAAACGTACTTGACGGGTTGGTGCTGTCGGAAGCTGTTGTACGAAGGCCCGCTGTGTAGACACCAGTCAATGGTGGCAGCAAATAGCCCAGTGCGTTGGGATTTACCACATGGATTTAATTAAAATTGAAGCTGGATTTTTTTTAAAGCTATGGGTCTGAGTGGTTAGATTCAATTTTGTTAAGTGCAATACTTGGTTTATGTTAAAAAATTTTCCATTTGTCCTTTGGGTTCACATAACTCTTAGTTATACCAAGACTAGGAATATTCATATCTTTAAGTATTCATGGTTTGCAGAGAGTTATGGTGCAGTGTTGGGAGGCATAGTGGACGAGTTGGGTGATTGGCTGTGTCATTAATGTTCAGAATAACCTTGGATAAGTCCCTGAATGTACCACATTTTCCATTATACCCTTGAGGAAGTCTGGATAGCTGTTTTCTCATGCTGCAATTCTGGAACTTTTTGGTTTGGGGTATTCACACAGTTGTCTTTTGTTTTTCTGTTTTTAGGCGATGTCCTTGTTGCTGTGAATGATGTAGATGTGACTTCTGAAAACATAGAAAGAGTTCTGTCTTGCATTCCTGGACCAATGCAGGTGTGGCCATCCCTTTCCATATTGTATACAGTGTTGCTTAAAGTGCATATGTTCTGTGCTTTTTTTTTTTTTTTCAGATCCTGAAGTTGTCCTCCCGCATAATGAGTGAGTAACGGCGAGGCTTGAGCACCAACGGCAGTTTTGCCTCTTGCTAACATGTAGCTCAGGAACACTGTTCTGAAAGGCGAGGGGTATCTACAAATAAAACATCCTAAGTAAAGAAGGCCGTAGCAGTAATGAAAGTAAACACAGTTGCCAGCTTACCTTTAGAACGCCCATGTTTGCCAGTGACAGCATAGCTCTGAGAAGACTCCTTTAAAAGCTGTGGCCAGGTGTGGGGATGCATGCCTTTCATCCCAGCACCCGGGCAGCAAAGGCAAGTGTGTGAGTTCAAGGCCAGCCTGGTCATCATAGTGAATTCCAGGACAGCCAGGACTATGTAGAGAGACCTTGTCAAAAAAAAAAAAAAAAGTAAGTAAATAAATAAGCTGTGGACTTTATATTCTCTGATTTAAAATCTCTCATATTGTAAAAATTTTTTTTTAGTTTTTAGGTTTTTAAATCTTTCTATGTAGCTGAAGCTGTCCTAGAACTCACAGAGCTCTCCTGCCTCTTCCTCTCAAGTACTGAGATCAAATGTGTACACCATAAGCCCAGCCCATTTCTTGATATGGCTTTGGTTATTTTAAAGCCTAACTAGTGTTTTCTCTGAGGCTGTGTACACTAGGAGTTGATGGAGGCTGGAGGAGAGTACAAAGAGCTTGTGTTACTCTGTGGCCGTCAGCCGATGGCATGCACTGCCAGTGTGTCCCTCCAGCTTTCTGTCATGTGGCATAGTCCCTGAGGAAAGCGACTCTGAAGGTGGAAAGGGTTGTTTGGTTCACGGGTTCAGAGGGTTCGGTCCTCGGTCAGGTGGCTTTTTTTTGTTTTTTGTGGGGGAAGCTGCTGTGAGGAGGCAGAGCCTTGTTGTAAGGGGTAATGCTGGGACAACATCACTCACTCTCTGACCGCCAGGAAGCAAATGCAGAGACAGGAAGGGGCTAGGCCCACATGTCTTCCTCAGGAGCATTCCTCCACTGCCCTCACCTCTCCCCGTGCTCTCAAAGGCTCCACTACCTTCGGCAGTGCCAAGTGCTGGCAGCCAAGTCTTTAGCATGTGGGCATCAAGGAGGCATTTAAGGCCCCATATAGAACATTGCATCCTGGATTCACAGGTGTGTGCCCATACTACCACAAAAATGCATCGAGTCCATCTCCAAGAATTTCCAAAGCTTTCACGGGTCCTCGCTGCTCAAAAGCCTGAGCCCACACACTCCTCAAGACAGTGAAAACTTAGATGTGAGCCTCCACCCAAATGAGACTAAACCGCTTATTTCCCAGGTGATGTCATAAGCATTCTCATTACATAGGAAGAAACAGGGAGAGAATGAGGAAGAATCAGACCTAAGCAAGACAAAAACTGAACGGCCTGGCCTGCCACCTGGGATATACAGTGGCATGGTATGTGCTCCAGGCCTTGGCATTCCCACCCCAGTGGCCTTGCTGGCTGCAGCCCATATGGCAGCTCTCCTGGGCTGGCTCTGCTTGCCGTCTGCAGCTTCTCCATGCCAATGCCCATGTTCCTGGCGTCTGACTTTCTAGGTTTTCCACTCCAGCTTCAGCGTCACTCTCGTAACTTCACGTGTGGCTGTCAGGGGCTGCCCACAGAGACAGGGAACCTGTCACATACTCTGTGGACTACACTTCTCTTTATAAATTTTTGGCTGAAGTCTCCAGGGCCCTACAACTCTCACATTCTGCGTGCCTGCCAAACTAGCATCCCATGGTCAAAATCATCTGAGCCTTGGCCGCAGTGGTTCCTGAGTGCCTTACCAGTTGAACAAGATAAAGAATTCTGGAGAAACTGCCCTGAACATACCTGTGCGATCTGGGTTTTCAGAGGTGTCCTCTTGAGAAGAGTTATAATGTTCCACTTTTGAGCTGGGGGTGGGCTGTGAGGGTGGGAGGGAGTCCTGGTCAATTCCTGAGTACCCTCAGAATATTCTTCCTGCTGTCCCAATCCAGAGTCCTTGGCCTCTTTTTGGTTTTTTGAGACAGGGTTTCTCTGTGTAGCTTTGGAGCCTTTCTTGGAACTCACTCTGTAGACCAGGCTGGCCTCGAACTCACAAAGATTCGCCTGCCCCTGCCTCCCAAGTGCTGGGATTAAAGGCGTGTGCCACCCATGCCCAGTATCCTTGGCCTCTTCTTAACAATGCCAATCTCTATATATTTACTGGCAGAAATTTTCAACATACTCCATTTCTGGCTAAAATGTAAGTTTTTCAAATGTTTCTGTCCAGTTTTTTTTGCTCCTGATTCTCACTGTTAATCTGGCTAAAATTACCAAACAACTCAATGCCACAGCCTGAATGTTGTGTGGCTTGAGATTTCCTGTTAGATTAGTTTTCTGTCACCTTTAAATTCAGTGTCTCCCAAAGTTTTAGTGCATAGTTTAAATGCATTCCAGCTCTTTGCCACCATGTAGAAAGGTTGATCTATCCAGTTACCAATGGATTCTTAATTTCTGTATGAAACCTAATGAGCCTGGTCTTTGCTGTCTGCATTTTGCATTTCTGTCAGGCATCTGGTTTTCTAAACCCTTAGCAGAACTCCTCACCCAAGCTACTTAGAGATTCTGTCCAGGCTTTTCTACCCATTTCTCAGACACTTCCAGTAAGCCAGCTCCTCAGGGTCCTGAACTGCCATTGGGTGTAGATGTCACAGCAACAATCTGCTTCTTTCTAAATTTGCTTAATTAAAAAAAAAATAGTCTTTAATACTTCCATGAATAAATGCAGTATTTTTTTTTTGTCCTATCCAACCCCCATTTCCTCTCCCTCCAATCCTCCTGAACTCCCCACCTAGTGCATCCCTCTCCTGACTTCATGCCCCCTCCCAATCAAATTAGAGCTGTGGGCATGTGCATGGGTGTGGAATGTGGTCAACTACCACGAGACACACCAATGAAAAAAAGATGATCTCACTCCTTCAGTGGCCATCCACTGCCAGTAACTCCTTGTGAGCCCCTCCGCATCCATGCTGTAAAGCAGGCTGACCTGATCCCCTGCAGGTCTTGTGCAGGTAGCCATAGTTGCTATGGGTTCATGAGAGCAGTTTCATGTCCAGAAGACACTTGTTCGCAGACCCTTGGCTCTTACGGACTTGTTGACACTCTTCTACAGTGTTCCCTGAGTGCTCCTCCACTTCTTCATATAGATTTTCTGACATGTTAGGTCCCAACCATAAGACCTGTAAGCGTCTAGTGGTTAGTGGTCCTATTTTATACATAAAGAAGCACCCAGGGGGCTGAGGCAGGAGGATTGTGAGCCAGACTAGACTGGATGATGAGATCCTAAGAAAGAGAGAGAATTTAGAAACTGCTTAGTGATTTCCCCAAAATCTCAGAATCAGTTACTCAAAGTACCAAATTTCAAACTAACCCAGAGCATATTCCTTCCTTTTCCTTTCAACCTGTGTGCATCCTGGTGTCTTGATGGGCCAGACCCTACTGAGATAGACCTGTCTAAGTGTCTGTGAATGTGCGAAACAGTCCCTTCAGCAACAAGAAAGGAAGAGAGAGTGCAGGTTTATAAGTGATTCCACGGGAGACGTTAATCCTGGACATACCGAGCAGTGACATCTTAGACATGCACTCAGAGTATAACCAAGTCTACAGCTTCCTGTTCTCCAGCAGACAGTGGCCTCTGAGACAGTGTAATGGGAAGAAGGCACTGGGAGAACAGATCAGTCCTCCATGTAACACCTCCCAGAGATTCCAGATCTAGTTTCCTCAACTGTAATCAGAGGGGATCTAAAGGGAAGTCTTCAAATCCACTTCCGGCTCTACTGGTGTGTGCTGGTGCGAAATGCAGAGGCAAAACCCATCTACATAGTGATACACAAAAAAGTCCATTTTAACATTTCAAAACTAGTTTTGTGTTTTTGTTTTTGATGTTTTTTATAGATGCTTCAAAAGTCTTAGTAGCATGAGGGTGTTGGGTTGTGGAATAATGGTAGAGTGTGTGCTTGGCATGTGCAAGGCCCTGGCTTACAAAGTCCAGCGCGCGCACGCACACACACACACACACACACACACACACACACACACATTCACACATGTGTGCATCATGAAAAAAAGGCTAGAGAACTCCTATACATTAAGACAGACTGAACAGTGTGTGACTGTGTCTTACTTGGGATTTCTGTTGCTGTGAAGAGACACCATGACCCCAGCAACTCTTATAAAGGAAAACATTTCATTGGGGCTGGCTTATAGTTTCAGAAGCTTAGTCCGTTGTCATCATAATGGTACATGGCGGCATGCAGGCAGACATGGTGCTGGAGCTGAGAGTCCTACATCTTGATCGGCAGGCAACAGGAAGTGAACTGAGACACTGGGTGTGGCTTGAACATATATGAGACCTCAAGCCTGTCCCACAGTGACACACTTTCTCAATCAAGGCCACAACTATTCCAACAAAGCTGCACCTCCTAATAGTGCCACTCTCTGTGAGCTTATGGGGGTCAGTGACATTCAAACCACCACAGACTGCAGCAGATGCAGCAGGCAGTCCTTGACTGCTTCTGGATTGCAGGAGGAACAGCTGTGTTAGATAACTGGAGAAATCTGGGCCTGGAATTTATTAGATATGAGTATCCCTTACTCAAAATGCTTGCAACCAGAAGTGAGTGAGTGAGTGCTGGGCAGGGAAGAAGTGGGGGAGAGGAGAGAGGGGAGAAGGGAGGGGGAGGGAGGGAGAGAAAGAGAAGTTGATTCAATTTAGTACAATTGCATGGTTGAACCTCCCAATGCAGAACAACCTGAAACCCTAAATACTCAAAAATCTGAAACTTTTAAAACACCACACAGAAAGCCCGAAATTTTGAAGTATTTCAGATTTAGAGACCAAAGAACTTTCCAAGCTTTACCTTAAGCAACTCAATGAGATTGCCCAAAAGGAGAAGAGGCTGGAGGAGAGAGAATTCGCTGAGCCAATTAGACTAATTCCTTGAGCATTACTCATGAAGCATTTTGAAAGCCCCTGCCACTTGCCAGCTGGAAGAGAAAGGATAAGGCAGCAGAGAGCAGTGGAGAGTGACAAAGACTGGCTGATTCACAGGTGCAAGGCAGGCCAGCTCTGCCATGGCATCGGGTCCTCACAGCCCCACAGTGTGCCCCTGTGGAGAGGGTTCCAGCTGAAGTGGGGAGGGGGTTTGTCTGATGAAGATGAATTGCTTCTTACATAGCACAGCTTGAAGACAGACTTGGGGAGGAGATAACCAAAGCCACATGACCTTGGAGGTGATGGGTTATAGAAATCACATCCCTGGACCCTTGGGAACCAGGGCATCATTCCTGAGCCTGGAAGGGGTGAGGATAGGTTGGGCAAGCTGCACAAGTGAGGAGGCAGGAGATGTGGAATCATGAACTTCCTTGCATGTTAAAGACTGTGGAAGAACAACAGGAAACTAAAAGGCATTTCAAACAAGACTTATTAGATATTGCTTAATAAAAGTTTATCCCTATAGCCACGTAATACCCTTAATACTTATGTCTATCAATCTTTTTTAAAAATAGTGCTCATCTCTTTATTTAGTTATGTCTTATACCTTATGTTGTCAAGGCAACTGAACTCAGCATTTATAGTTGCTTATTATATAGGACTTCTCTTTCTGAAGTGTAATTATCTTCTTATGATAGAACCAACTTTTCTTAAATTCAAAATGGTGCTAAAACAGTTCCTTGAAGAATTTTAATGAACAATTTCGTATGGTGTGTTTTTATTTGGGTTTGTGTTGTGGCAAGGTGAAAAGGTCTTTGCACCAGAATGTAGGTAATGGCATTTGCAAAATATACTATTAAAATTAGTTTTAAAGCACATACATCATTGTCTATGAGCATAGCAAAGTGTATCAAATTTTACATCATTGCTACCTCTCAAGTATAATTTCCAAATCTTTCAGTTTATCAACTCATTTCGATTTTGTCATTTTTTTGGTGAGTCCCACCCAATCTTTAAACCTTCCTAACTACAAGAACTTCAGCTAGAGAAGATGCCATCCTGGTATGAGCCATGGCTCTTTCTCTGACGTCCCTTTCTGTGCATCCTCCTACACCCTCTCCCCCAGAGTAACCACCATCTTTCACACTAAATACTGCTGACTTGTGTAGCCTGTTTGTGTCAGAACCTCACACCAAGACTTCTTTTTGTAACACTTATTTATTGTACACTCTTGTGAGCGGTCAGAGGACATCTTGAAGGGCTTGGCCTTCCTGCTGTCATGTGGTCTCAAGGATCAAACTCAGGTCATCAGGCAGGAAGGCAAATGCCTTACCCACAGAACCATCTCACAGGCCCTAAATATTCATTTTCAGATCTAAGATGATAATTTCTAAAACCATATGCTTTCAACTCTTTTTTACTTTAATTATATGTTAATTTTCATATCATTCTTACATAGGGTTTTTTTTTTATTTTTTAATTTTTGTTTAGTTTTTTTTCTCTCTTTCTCTAGCAATACATTAATTTTCTACTCAGCCTTTTTGGACACAGTCTCCAGATACCAAGGGCCCACGTTTCCATACTGTGTTTACAGAAAACATGTAAAGAAAATTCTGTAGACACTGGGCTTTCTCATTTGACGTTTTCCCCTTCCTGCTCTCTCTGTAAGTTCTGTTAGCCTTGGCCCACTTCATCTTCCCTAACAACATGTACATCCAGATGATTTTAAAACCCTCTCTTCGCTCCATGTCGGTTAGCATCTGCCCCTGTAAGAACTATCTGAAGTAGCTGACCTACAAGAAAAAGTTTATCTGGGCCTGTGGTTTTAGAGGTTCTAGTCTGTGCTCAGGTGTATTTGTTATTTATCTCATAGTTGGGACCAAAACCTGACATAGTACAACTTATGGGAGGGGAAGTGTAGGTTGGCTCTTGGTCTCTTGGTTTGGAGGGGGAAGTCCACCACAGCAGGAAACGTGGCAGAGTGTGTGGCTACAAGAGTGTTCGGAGGAGACTCTGTCTGGGCAGACCAGGAACTAGAAGCATGAATGCAGATGCTCAGCTGTTTTTTTTCTTTTTTTTTTTCCTCTTTATTTGGTGGGGGGATGGTATTACTCACATTCAGGGTGAATCCTCCCCTCAGTAAACTTGGAAATACCTTCGCAGACATGGCCCATTGTGTGCCTCCTCGGTGATTCCAAATCTAATCAAGGTGACAGTGACTGGCCATCATGAGATGAGTCCCTCATCTTGAAGCCTTTAGTGGGAGTGCCACATGGAAATGTTGGGGAGCAAGAGAAGCAGCACTGTTCACCCCAAGACCAATAAATAAAAGAGAGAAAGAGGAAGAGGGGCCAGGCTCCCACAGCTTCCCTAAGGCATGCCCTACTTCCATGGAGACCTCCAGCCTCCCACTACCACTGCACCATGGGCGGAGCTTTTTCACGTGAATTTTTGAGAGACACTTTCCAAACTATAGGAACTTGCTTACACAGTAAATCCTGAGACTTAGGAATGAAAGTATATAGAAGTTATTTTTTAAAAGTGATCATAACGCATTAGTACTTATCACATATTTAGAATTAGAATGGCACCTCTCATAATAAATTATTAAAATAGGAAAATAGGAATTATTTAGTATTGTTTTTAGTCTTTAGGTATTTTCCTCAGTGTAACTTGCTGCCTTAAGACAGTGTTACCTGCTTTTAAGCATTGGCTAGACTTCTTTATTCTTGCTCAAAAAAAATTAATTATTTAATTAATTAATTTGAGACAGAGTCTCACTGTACAGTTCTGGCTGGCCTGGAACTTTCTGTGTAGACTAGGCTGACCTTGAACTCACAGAGATCCACCTGCACCTGCAGGGATTAAAGGGAATGACTGTCAGGCCTGGCTTACTCTTATTTTGAAAAGCATCACTTGACTCTAAATTTAAAACTTTATGGATTATTCCCTTTAAAAATATAAACATCTGGAGCACTGTGTGGCTACCGATCTTATGACGATGCCTTCATTATCCAGCATTCATTATATGCTCATGCTGGTGCATCTTTGAAATGAGTGGGTTGTCTCTGGGCAGCTGGCACCGGTAAGTGTCTCTGTTTTCAAGGAGGGGTACCTGAGAGGTGGAAGGTGCCTTTGGCACCTGGAAAACAGCCACATTCTGGATCCTGACCAATCTTGACTTCAGGCTGTGAAATTAGAACTACCTGATGAAACTGACTGATAATCCTCCCGGTGGTACAGTGTCCCAAATGCCAGCGGTTGTTGGTTTGGTGGCACTATATTTGGCCCTTCCTTATAGGGTTACAAAGACTGTCTGAGAGAAGAGTATTTGAAACCTGTCCCACTTGGAAGGAAAGGCAGCGCCCATATGTGAGATTGCCCTTGACCCCCAGTCTCTCTCTTAGCTTCCTTTGACGAGTCAGTGCTCTTAGCATTGAAGATGTGCAGTGACCCTATTCTACACTCAAATGATAGGGATTTCTGCTCTTCTGTGGTACTTCTTTATGTAGTCATGAATGAACTTTTGTATGGAGCATTATACTTTTCACTCAGTAAACATTTGTGATTATATATACCTATACATACATATATATAAACATTTGTGATTATATATACATATATATAAACATATATATAATGTACCCACCACTGTGTAAAGAGCTAGATACAGATACAAGTGAACTCACTGTTCTCACCATTAGCCCTTGCTCTGAGGTGCCATCTCCATCATGTGCACTCCTGACTATACTTGTCAGCACATGTCTTTCTTTGTTTTTTAAAAACAAACAAACAAACAAAAAAAAACCAAAAGAAAACACACCTGATGTTTGCCTGGTAGAAAAATCAAACATTTTGTTTTATTTTTTTCAGGTGAAGCTGACATTTGAAAATGCATATGCTGTGAAAAAGGAAACAACCCAACCAAAAAAGAAAAAGACCCAGTCGAGCACGAATGATTTGGTGAAACTTCTCTGTGGGTCGGAGGCTGAAGGCATCCAGCACAGTATCCTGGGCACCCCACACATCATCATGTACCTCACCCTGCAGCTCCAGTCAGAGGTGTCCAAGGAGGAGGTGAGTGTCTGCTCACATATGCTGCAGCAGGAGGGGGACCTTCCATCCTTCCAGCACATTCAGACTTCAAGAAGGAACAGAAGGGAATTAGCTGTCTCTTATCGCTGTTCTCTATATATTATGTTATGCTGGTGTAGTAGATACTTGATATCACCAGTTTTAAAACATATAAGAGAAAAGTGCGCACTTTCCAGCTCTTCTAAGTGATAGAGAATGAGACCCCAAAAGCTTCCTTTTGCGGTCTGTAATACGAGGTGTGTGTTTCCTCTTGTCGATTTCTGTCTGTTTAATAAAAATTGAAATGGTAAACATTTGATTAATTGTATATGTACTGCTTAGCATTTTTTGTGTTCTGGAAAATACATAGATATCCAGTGGTAATAATTCTAATTTCTTATACCTTGCTGGCTCCTTGTATCTTTAGAACAAATGAGACATTTAAGCATTTATTTTTTAAACCTCCCAAGTTTGGGAGTACTGTCTTGAACCTTTCTAGCCCACATGTCATAGTGCCTGACTTTCCCTGGGAAAGTGTGTGAATGCCTCGCAAATAAACAGGTTGCTGTCTGTGGCCAGTTCTGTAGCAGTATCGTAATTAGGAGAGGCTCTTTATTCTTACCACACAGAGTGGAAGCTTCTGTAAGTGCAAGCTACTAACAAGGGCTTTAAAAATACAGCCAATTAAATTGGCTGGGCGCTGCAAAGCTTGCCAGCCCCTCAGTACCAAGGCTTTTAAGACTCCTATGGAGACTTCCTTAAATGGCCTTTTTTTTCTACTATGTTACTTTACAACGAAGTGTCATAGGGTCATTTCTTTCTCTGAGAGTTACATAATTGATACAGAGCTTGTCTTCAAATTACAAGATTTGGAATGCAAGGACCACAAGATGGAGACTTCTAAAAAGCTAATCAAAGACAGTTTAAAACAGCGTTTGGTATTTTGACAAAATAGAATGGAAGGTTTGTTGGAGAAGGTTTAAATTTATTAAGTCAACATCACAGATGATTTTAATTCATGTTTGACTTAATTTCTAGAGATAAGTAATAAAATACTCTATAGCTATTTTCACAATGAAAACCTCAATAAAATTTGAATCATTATGCAGTGTATTTGGGAAACATATCCCATAGCATATATTGAATAATTTACATATATTAGATGGTTTTAGTAAGTACAAAAAGTAGGTGGCACAGTGTATTATCATCATATCTGTGATGATGTAAAAATTGTGAATACGTGGACATCTTGCCACATAACAATGTCTCATATAGATGTTTAACGTTAGAGACAGAACCAAGGAAAAGCTAAGCCAGTATAATACTCGAGTCTGGACTTTTGTTATAGCATTTATAACCATTGGAGCAATTAGAAGTTACTCTGCATTTTCATGGTTTCTATCTAGAAGTTTTTTTTTTTTTTTTTTTTTTTTTTTGGTTTTTCGAGACAGGGTTTCTCTGTGTAGCTTTGCGCCTTTCCTGGGACTCACTTGGTAGCCCAGGCTGGCCTCGAACTCACAGAGATCCGCCTGGCTCTGCCTCCCGAGTGCTGGGATTAAAGGCGTGCGCCACCACCGCCCGGCTTCTATCTAGAAGTTTTAATTTGCTGTGTGAGAAGAATCAATGTTGCCTAAGTGTCAGCAGAGAGGGAGGCTCAAGCTGCCCCATGTCTTAGGAGCGTCAGCATACTGCAGCTCTCTGTTTCCTAGAAACAGGTTCTTACTGAAAACGGGAAAATATTAACCATTTTCTAAATTACCATGTAAATTTGCATTTTCCACAATTTAAAATAAAACATGCCCTTTCATATAGATTAATTTATGCTGTTTAAGCCCTCCCATATTTATGTTAGAGATTTTATGATCTTGTGATACTTCTTTTTCTTTCTATTTGTACTTCTTCAGTTTTGTATTCTCACTTTGTAAATGTTTAATAATATCACCAAAATAATGATTATCTTTTAAGATTCAGTGTGACAGAAATTAAAGACTCCTAGGAGTAACACGTGGAGATAAAAGCTTAAAACACTGTTTGAAATCAATACTATTTGTAATTGTGTAGATCTGTCTCCAGGCCAGTGTGGCGTTTGAAATGCTTGTTGAAGTGTTAACATTCCAGGCATAGTTCTGTCCTTGGGTTTGAATGAAACTCTGACTAAAGCTGAAAGGATTCCTGTTTTGTTCTCCATACAAAGTCTGAATCTTCAGGACAAATGTTGGTTGGAGCATCTGAGAGCTCATCATCTGTTCTTTCCCTCACAGCAGGAAATTCTGTACCATTACCCAGTATCCGAAGCCTCTCAGAAACTCAAGAGTGTGAGGGGGATTTTTCTCACACTCTGTGACATGCTGGAAAGTGTAACTGGGACGCAAGTTACTAGGTAACAAAGTTTCACTCTTTCTTCACTGACTCATCGTTAGTTGTCTATGATAGACCTGTTCCTGTCTGTGGCATTGTCCACTGCTGGGCGTCTGTTTCAGATAAACATTGATTTTGTATGGAGTGTATGTTTCTAATTCAGCTGCAAGTCTGGGATTTGCCAGGATCATTTCATTAACAGAGTGGGCTGTTGACCCATAGTTACAATTCTTCATGACAATGTCGTCTTCTAGTTGGCAAGATGGCTCAAGGGTAAAGGTGCTTACTGTCAAGTCTGTCAACGTGGGTTCAGTTACTGGGACCAGATGGTGGATTGAGAGAACAGACTCCTGCAAGTTGTCCCCCAACCTCCACACTCAAGCTGTGGTGCACATGCCACGTGCACACATGTGTACAACACACACATACATACATTCATGTAATTACTTTAAAAGAGTTATCTTTCAAACATGGCATTGTTATGTATCTTGACTTCCTTATGTTTCTATTGTGATTGTCAGCTCACTAAGTAATATGCTAAATTTTTCACATGCTTAGAAAATACTCTGATTTTACAGTAATGAAAGAGAAATATAGACTGTTCTATAGGAGGGATGTTCAGAATTCAGTGTCATGTGAAGTTTATTTAGTGATGAAAGGGCAAAGTCAGAATGGGGTTGTCCTGCACGGTGGTGGAACTGTCGGTCAGTCAGCACCCTGCCCGTGGCCTTGGGTCCATCTCTAGCACCAGGGGAGGAAGAAAGGAGAAGGAGGGAACCTCAGCCATGGAAAGAACCCACCCCACACACACGGGTTGTCAGGCCTGACTGATGCCATGACTAAGTTATGGGATGAAGAGCTCAGAGCTTTTGTATTTGTTTTCTCGTAAAATAAATTATTACTATTTTTCTACTTTAATATTTCAGTAATCTAAAATTCATGAAAAAAGTTTATATCGAGTTTTAACAGATCCCATATTACTGAAAAAATATGAAGTTGGAGTTCCCAGATTTTAACTTTTGTTTTCCCATCTCCTGGTAAAAATTACACTTAAAAATTTTAGAAGGTGTTGGGTGTGTAAAATAATGGGAAGAATTTACTTGTTTCCCTAAATAAAAGTTAGGCATAATGCTCTAACTTTTTAATATGTAGATATATTGATTATATTTTTGAAGACAGTGGTACTTGAGGCTTCATTTCATATATAAATTTGTATTTATAAAAGCAGCTTGTTGGACGTTCATTCATTCATTCATTCATTGCAGTGGATCAAAACAAGGGACTCATACCTGTCAATTATGTGCTGTATACCACTGAGCTATGACCCCATCCTCTCTTTAATATTTTAACAGCTTTGTTTAACTATAGTCCATAAACCATTCAATTTGCCCATTCTTAAAAGTGTACAAGTAGCCGGGTGGTGGTGGCACACTCCTTTAATCCCAGCACTCGGGAGGCAGAGCCAGGCAGATCTCTGTGAGTCCGAGGCCAGCCTGATCTACAGAGCGAGATCCAGGACAGGCACCAAAGCTACACAGAAAAACCCTGTCTTGAAAAACCAAAAAAAAAAAAAAGTGTACAAGTAGGGGGTGGGGAGATGGCTCAGAGGTTAAGAACACTGGCTGTTCTTCCAGAGGACCTGGGTTTGGTTTCCAGCATTCACATGGTATCCCAAACCCTCTGTAATTTCAGTTCCAGGGGATCTAGCGCCCTCTTATGGCCTCTGTAGCTACCAGGAATGCACATGGTACAGGCAGACATGGAGGCAGGATAACCATGCACATAAAATAAAAACAAATAAGTCTGTTTTTGAAAAGTAGACAAGTAAATAGTTTCAGCTGTATTCATAGATTGGCCATGGTCAATGTCAGAACATTTTTGCCACCTTGAAAAAGAACCATGTGCCCCTTAACTGTCAGCCTAGACACCACAGCTCAAGCCCCAGACTCCACTGGCTTGCTAGCCTTGCCTGGGAGAGATCCCTGCTGTAGACATTCCAAATGAATGGAATCGTAAGATGAATTCTCATTTGTTTTTTAAAAATGTGGTTTTAATTGTGTGTGTGTGAGTAGGGGTGGTTTGTGAACATGAGTGTAGGTGCCTACAGAAGCCAGAGGCATCGAATTCCCTGAAGCTGGAGTTACAGACACTCATGTGTACCTGACATGGGTGCTGGGATGTCTTCCAGATGTCTTCTGGAAGAGCATCTCATGTTCTTAACTACCAAGCCATCACTCTACCCCTAGAGTAATGCTTTAATCTTTCGTTTGTTTTTGGTTTGGGTTTTGTTTTAATTTTAATGTTTTTCTTTGTTTTTCTCTGCTCTATAGGATAGATGCTATTTTACTTAATAGTTAGATCTCACCAGTGATGATAAGACATGAGGTAACCATATGCAAGCAATAAGGACAGGTAGTTAACTAACTTAATAGTTAGATCTCGTCAGTAATGATAAGACACGAGGTAACAATATGCAAGCAATAAGGACAGCTGGGAATACCTTTCTGAAGAAACAATAAATATGAAATGTACTTTCAGAGTTCCTTAACAATATGTGTGTCTTGTTGCATGTTCTTTTCTAAAAATTGTAATAATGCTGGTATGATAGAAAAGAGGCTAATACTTGCCTAAAAGTGTATGTGCTTTTAAACTTTAAGATAAAAATAATATTGTTTGGCAAAACATCTGTTTAATAGTTCATATTTAAAGTGGCACACACTTGTGTTCTCTATATTTCCATAGTTGGTTGTTGTATTTTTGAGAGGTATCTAATTGTTTACAGCTGCATGAAATATAATTAAGAATAAACTGCACATGCATGAAATGTACACACTGACAGCTGATAGAAGCACTCACTCTGTAACCATAACACGCTGTGCACATGTCCTGGAGTTCCATTGAGCAAGATGTGCATATGACTCAGGTTCCATCGCTTGCTTCTATGGCTGCATCTCATATTGTCGGGTTGTCATCTTTTAGCTAGAATCACTGTTTTCGTTTCTTTGTAATCTCCTTAGTGATCATGTCCATACATGGGCAATCACAAAGTCTCTATGGAATTAGTGAGCAGGGATGGAAACATTCATTTAAAAAAACTAAACTGTGTGCAGCTACTTAATGTCAACAAAACATTTCACAAACACCCCAATTTGAGAGAGGGGGGTCTCACTGTGTAGCCCTGCTGTCCTAGAACTGTGTTACTCAAGCTGGTTTCAAACTCACAGCAATTCTTCTGCCTCAGCCTCCTGAGAGCAGGATTGTAGGCATGTAATGATTCTACTTTTATGTGTCTTGGGGCTTTGGAGATAATTCCAAATTTATTTTTGTTGTTAAATAACCCTTGCCTTTTTTGTGTGGTAGTTAGGTATGTGCCAAGAAATTTGCTTATTAAGCAATTCAGTTCTTAAATTATACCATGTGTAACCTTTTAAGGATATTTTTATAACTTCATAAAAGATATTCTAACCACATCTTGAATTTATGTTTTTCTTAGCTCATCCCTCCATTTAAATGGGAAACAAATTCATGTTGCCTTCTTGAAAGAATCTGACAAGTTGTTGTTAATTGGCCTGCCTGCTGAAGAGTGAGTTGAGATTTTTTTGTTTGCCTTTAAAAAACATTTCTGAAACTATGGTAACAATAGCAACAAAAAAAAAGTAAAATAATGGTAACAAAGCCTGTCTCATTAAAATTATGCCACTTTCATCAAAAAGCAAACTCCTTGTGATGGTTTCGCAATCCCAAGGTGCTGCACTGGGGAAGTCGTTACCTGTGTTCTTTGGGACTGTCACAGCAAACAGCACAGAGGTAGCATTCGCTTCAACCTCAAAAGCCCCCATAGTCTGTAACAGTCTCGAACTTGTTCCAAAGTCTTTTGAGACACATGGTAATCTCTTAACTGTAATTCCCCTGTAAAAATCAAAATCAAAAAGCAGATCACATACTTCACATACTTCCAACAACAGCACAGAATGTTCATTACCATTCCAAAAACAGGGAAGTGAGAATAGCGAGGAAATACTAGACTAAAGCAAGACCAAAAACCAGCTGGGCAAACTCCAAACTTTGCGTCTCCATGTCTGATGTCAAAATGCTTTTCAGATCTCCAACTCCTTTCAGCTTTGTTCACTGTAACACACATCTTTCTCTTGGGCTGGTTCCATTCCCTGTTAGCAGCTCTCCTTAGCAGGTATCCCATAGCTCTGGCATCTCCAACATCTTGGGTCTTCAAGGTAATCCAGGATTTACCTTCACAGCTTCACACAATGGCCTCTCTGGGCCTCCATTCAGGGACAAATCCTGACACATACCTGGCCTCAGTGGCTTTCCATAGTAGTGGAGGAAGATTCTATAACCCCTTTCTTCTACCCTTGACTCTAAAGCCAGAACCAAGGGGCCAAAGCTGCTAAGTTCTGCTGCTTGCTGGGGCTGGAACATGGCCCCCTCATTCAATTATATCTTTGCCAGCTTTCTGTTTTCGATGGGTTCCTTTACTGCCTAAACTTGACTGTCCTGAATCTTGCTCTGTAGACAAGACTGGCTTTGAACTTAGAGATCTGTTTGCTTCTGTCTCCAGAGTGCTGGGATTAAAGACATGTATCACCATTCCTGGACCTAAGGTGTTCTTTAATTCCTTTTGACAAGTTGCAAGAATAACTGGGTGGGGTCTTGCCCTGAGATCACCGCTCCTTTTATTCCATTTCTTAATCTGTTTATCTTCTTGAGCACAGGGTTTAGTTCCATTCCACTTCCTGGTGCTCTGTTCCTCCTCAGATTTTACATTTTGTATTTTTCCTTGCTCAGTTTCTCCTTTTCATTATATATCTTTATAAGAGTCAACACTAGTAACCTCACAACCGAGTCTGTACTAGGTTCTTTTGAGATTTCTTCTGCCAAAGGAATTAATCCAAAACTCTTCAGTTTAGCCTCAGGCAGATTTTTCTGACAAGGGCAAAAGGCAGCCACTTTCCTCACCAAAGTATCACAAGAGTGATCTCTAGGCCGCATACTAAAATTCTTCCCCTCTAAAACCTCTTGAGACAGACCCTACAGTTTAGATCACCTGTGTCTTCCATGCTCCTACTAGTGTGGCCCAGTAAGCAGCACTTAAAGCATTCCATTGCTTTGCTAATCCAAAGTCCCAAAAACATGGTTAGGCTTATCACAGCAATACCCCAGTCCCTGGTACCAATTTTTGTCTTAGGGTTTCTGTTGCTTTGAAGAGGCACAATGACCACCACAGCTTTTATAAAGGAAAACATTTAATTGGGGCTGGCTGACAGTTTCCGAGGTTTAGTCCATTATTGTCATGGAAGCATACAGGCAGACATGGTGCTGGAGAAGGAGCTGAGAGGTCTACATCTTGATCCACAGGCAGCAGGAAGTAAACTTTCACATTAAGCATGGCTTGAGCAAATATGAGATCTCAAAGCCTGCCTCCACAGTGACATGCTTCCTCCATCAAAGCCATACTTCCTCCAACAAGGCCACACCTACTCCAACAAGGCCACAACTCATAATAGTGCCACTCTGTATGGGGGCAGTTTTCTTTCAGACCACTACATGTGCCTACAAGTTTGTTCATGCTGGAGAATTGGAGGGAGTCAAGACTTAGCACAGGGTGTCTTACCCAGGTGTTCGATATCTATAGTAAAACAGTGATGCTGCAATGCCAAAGTGACTTCCTGCCTTAGGGTGACCATTCACTAGTTGGGTGAGCAGTTTTTACAGCTCTGCCCACAGCTGACTAAATGGTACCAATGTGTAAAGGTAAGGACATCTTGCTTCTTTGGGGTCTGTCTCATTGGATTATGTTGTGAATGAGTAACTGCATTTTTTTCTTTTAAGAATTCCTCTTCCCCAGCTGAGGAACATGATAGAAGATGCTGCCCAAACCCTGAAGTTCATGTATGGTTCTTTAGACAGGTAAGTGTTTGGCTGGACTCTGTCTCAAGTGTCAAGTCATGGTTCTGTGTCTTCCTCTGCGCTTTGACAGTGGCTCTTGCTTGAGAAGCAAGTTGTTTGGTTCATTCTTTTCCATGTGACAATTTCCTCATGTTCTCTTTCTTTTTTTTTTCCTTTCTTAATTTTTATTAAATTCAATTATGAATTAATTTTTTGAGACAGAATCTCACTGTGTACCTCAGACTTGCCTTGCTATGTAGCCTGGGATGGCTAGAACTCATGATCCTGCTACCTCAGCCTCCCAGGTGCTGTGACTGTAGATATGAACCTTCATACCTGACTTTTTATGAAGCTATGATGCTATTACTACTTCCATATTATATTCCAGTATATACCATATGGAAATTCATGAAAACTGCTAATTAGTACAAGATATAGTGATTACTACAAGTTTTATATTACAATATATAAACCAGAACATACTTGTTCATTTCCTTAGAGGTAAATATAGCATTTCTATGTAGAATACAGAGAAGATTAAGATTTTAAGTAAAAGTTTGTGTTTTCTTTGCTATTTCACTACCCTAAAATGTTTCTTTATTCAAAAAAATTTAATTAAAAATGTGCATTTAGGGGCTGGAGAGATGGCCCAGAGGTTAAGAGCACTGGCTGCTCTTCCAGAGGTCCTGAGTTCAATTCCCAGCAACCACAAGGTAGCTCACAACCATCTGTAATGAGATCTGGTGCCCTCTTCTGGCCTGCAGGCATACATGCAGGCAGAATACTATACATATAATAAATAAATCTTTTTTTAAAAAAACGTGCATTTAGCTGGGTATAGTAGCTCACATCTGTAGTCTCAGCATTTGAGAATCTGAGGCAGGAGGATTACTGTAAGTATGAGGCAGGCCTAGGCTACATAGGAGTTTCAAGGCCACTCTGAGTTACAGATCTTGCCTCAAAAAAACAAAACAAACGAAGCACATTTAGTAGAAATCAGATGCACCGTATGGAATGTTTAGGTGCCATGTGTATTCCTTTGTGTATTCTCCATAAAACATGAATATGAATGTCCATTTCAGGCATACTTTCTGCTTGTCTTTTTCCATTTTTTATCCTTCGCCAGGTTTATAAGTTTATATAGTGAATTTTAGTTGTGCTAACTCTTTATTACCAACACACGTGTTCATGTGTCCTGTGACCACTGAGTTCATTGGGGTTGCTGCATGAGTGTTGCCAGGCATTATTTACTAGAGCATGGGCAACTTTCCAGTGGCTCCACCACTGAAGAAACCATTAAGTGCCAATAGTCGGTCATGGGCCGCTCCCCATCCAGGATGAAATGTCCGTGAACTCAGTCTTGTACAGGTCTTATTCAGACAGCCACAGCTGTAGTGAGTTCACAAGTACAATGGCCCTGTTCATCCAGAAGGCATCTTTTTGTTCGTGTCTCCCTCCACACCCTCTGACTCTTGCCTTTTCTCCTTTGATGCTAAGCCCTGAGTGTGATCTAGATGTCCCACTTAGGGTCGAGCACCCAACCATCACTTATTCTTGGCACTTTGGCCAGTTGTTGGTGCTCCTTGGTTTTAAACCTTATAATGTGATACGTATTTATCATATTATCTTACTGTCTTTATCTTACATTATCATATGTATTTATCACTTATAATGTGATATGTATTTATCATATTATCTTACTACCTTACATTATCATACGTATTTATCACTTATAATGTGATACGTATTTATCATATTATCTTACTATCTTACATTATCATACGTATTTATCACTTATAATGTGATACGTATTTATCATATTATCTTACTATCTTACATTATCGTATGTATTTATCACTTATAACATGATGTGTATTTCTTGATTTGAAGGGAAAAAATTGAGCTAATCATTTGAATGTACAGAATTATGAATGGGAAGCATTTTTCTCCAGTGGAATTTCCTCAGGTTCTAGTGCCTCTGGGGCCTAAAGTGATACCTCTGCTCTAAACGCCAGAGTATACTGGAATAGAAACTGAAAGACAGTTTATGCATTTTTCCAAACATAGTGGTCTGTCTCTCTGCTTATCTATGGTGAAACTTTATTGTCACAGTGCTCCGAGCATCATGGATGAACTTCTGTGATTATATCAATCTGGAAATCATTTTATTTGTCACATTCTCCACTGGAGGAACCTCTGAGGAGGCACATCCCTCCCAAACTTGATTATTTACCAGAAACTTCCAAATGAATGAGGTGCCATAGGCTGGTCATGCAGACACAGTACCTTTGCTTTTTTTTTTTTTTTAATGTGATTTTGATCAATGAGGAATGAGACTGTGGTATTGTGGTATTTTTTTTTTTAAAGTTATGTAGAGTGGCAAACTTTGCTTTATTGTGCCCTGGTTGAGCTGTTTCCACAAACTGGGAGATTATCAAAGATTAACTTTCTGCAGTGGGTTTCATGCATGTCGACAAACTCCTGAAGTTGTTGCATGTCCACAGAGTAGGTTCAGGGCAGAGGGACCTAGTTTCACTGAATTTCACCTTCTATTGATAGGAAAGTATCTCTGTAGTGGCAGCAAATTTAACTGATTTCTCCTTGTTCGATTGGGCCAAAACTTCGAAAGGACAAACTACGAAAACAAATGGGAATATGGCTGTTCTTTAAGAAGCAACAGGGGTGTAAGCAGATACTAGTAGACATTTTGTAGCAATTTTTAATTAAGGTTTTTTTGTCTATAAAAAGATTTCAAAAAGGTTTTTCAAAGGTACAAAGACTTAGTGATCATTTTAAAATTGTGAGCTAGTTCCTATTAGTGTTATGAGCAAATTAAAGCTATATTTCTTTTCACCGTCCCCAACTAATCCTTCAGCAAGTCCCATCCTGTCTAAAATGCATCTCTACTCCATCCACTCCTCCCTCTGTTTACCATTTTCCTGCCCAGCAGCTGCTCCATGGCACTACAATGGCCTGCTTCATTCTTGCTACATTAATTAATTTCTATAAAGCAGTTTGAATGATCAGCATTATTATCTGGATGCCACTACCTACCTATCTGATCAGATCCCAAACTACACCCAAGCCCCTGCCTTACACATTGGCAAAATTTCCCCCACCCTAGACTCTTCCCTTTTTCCTCCTGCTGGGTCTTCCTCATACAGAGATATCAACTTAAATTGCCTGTCTTCAAAGTCTTTCTTAATCATTTACTCTAAAACAGCAAATTGACTGGGTATGAAGTTGTATACCTAGAGTCCCAGCTCTTCGGGAGGCTGAAGAGACACATGACCTCACAAGTTTAGGCCAGCCTGGGCAATGTCATAAGATCCTATCTTTAAAATAAAGCACCTGACCAGTCATAGAATCTGTCCACACTCCCATCATCTCCTTGCCTCATTCCATCAGAATGTGTGCTCCCCGGGAGTTCATTGTCTTTTGTCTTGATTTTATTGCTGCACTCCCGACAAAGAGAACAGTGATTGGAACAAAGTAGGTGCCTAAATACTTGCAGGATGAGTCAGTGACTTTTACTTTGGCATGATACGAACCAGCCATTGTGTCATCTTCTGAGCCGTTCCAAGAACTTGGCGTCATTACTGCTGGATTGCTTCTGCGTGTCTAAAATCAGCTATTTAATCTCTCCAGTCCCCTCCCTCCCTCTCTGGCCCTTCCTCCAATGCTTGTGCCCTCAATTGAGGAGAAAAACAGCTTAGCTCCTTATTTTCTGTTTCCTGTCATAAGATCCTATGTACTCGTAGTAAGCACCGCACGAGGTTGTGGGTACTGAGTACTTAGGTGATTTGCAGGTGAGTTGGATCACATTAACCCCAGTTTTGACTTGGAAACAAAATTCAGAGAGGCCCGTTGATTGGTCTTATGACAGCTGTCTAGTAAGATTCAAAGCCAAATCTATTGTACTGCAGAGTTGACTCTCTCTATTATCCTCCATCCCTTGAAAGACACTAGGACTTGTAAATGGTGGGAAGGTAGAGGAAGGAAATGTGTACTTCAGCCCCTTTCCTTGTGCACATGCCCCCTGGGTTGGCCCAGCAGTTCTTCCCCGAGTCCTCTCATTAAATACAGAAAGTGTATGTCTTCGCACCCTCCTCCAGGCACAGTACAGTGGTTGTACCTACGGGGACAGGGAGGCAGAGATCTTCCGTGAGTGCGGGAATGGAGTCAGTCCTCTTTGAGCTAGTGCTGAAGGTGATGGACCTCTCCACAGGTTGCACTCACTCCCAGCCCGTTTCTTCAGTGCCTTTTGCCAGGTTGAGAACACCCCTCGTTTGGATCATTTCTTCAGCTTGTTCTTTGAACGAGCTCTTCAGCCTGACAAGCTGCATCTCAGCGCCAACCCTAGTGCTCAGCAGTACGATGCAGCAAGCGCCATGCTTTTAGACGGCCTCCCTGCAGTCCGTTGGCTCGCACTTCCACAGGAACTCAAGGTAATCTTAGGGGTCCTTAGTAAGAACCAGAACCATCTGCCTCGTTCTAAGCCTTGGGCTTTTTTCATTTTCTTTTTAGAATAATTTTTTTTTAATTTATTACTTGGGGCAGGCCTGCTGCTGTGGTGTATACAGGTCAGAGGATGGGTTTAGTACACTTGGTTCTTTACCCTCACCTCTATCTAGGTTCCAGGATTGAGCTCACCGGCCCTCTTCTTCCTTTCTCTGTGTGTGTGTGTGTGTGTGTGTGTGTGTGTGTGTGTGTGTGTGTGTGTGTGGATATGTGTGTATATGTATGTATGTATGAGTGTGTAGGTCAGAGGATGGGTTTAGTACGCTTGGTTCTTTACCCTCACCTCTATCTAGGTTCCAGGATTGAGCTCACCGGCCCTCTTCTTCCTTTCTGTGTGTGTGTGTGTGTGTGTGTGTGTGTGTGTGTGTGTGTAGGGGGTGTATGTGTGTGTATGGATATGTGTGTATATGTATATATGTATGAGTGTGTGTGTGTGTGTGTGTGTGTGTGTGTGTGTGTGCTTCAGTATTATAGGTAACAAGTGAAGAAGCTGCTGAAACACAAGATCTAGTGACATAAACTTCAACCAATGACCTTTTAAAAATAGAAGTTGGTTCTCTCATTGCATTTTATATTTAAGCTTTCCAAACTCAGTATTCTTTTCAGAAATCTAAGTTGTACGTCTTCCTTGGCAGTTTGGTGACTATTATTTTATAGCACAAGGTCAGCTTTATGTTTCTGTCCAGATTAAAGGTTTCTTCTGGGACAGAGGAGCAGCTGTGGAATGTGAAAGACTAAACAGATTGTTTGGTGGTCCACATTAGCAGACAGTCTTTATAAGAATACAAGACCCACCGACAGCAAAATAATAAGGTTTTGTTTTGTTTCTGATGCTGGGGGTTGAAGCCTGGGCCTCTTGCCTCCTAAGCATGTGTTCTACTCCAGAGCCGTATCTCCAGTTCTTTTCCACGAACATGCGTGTTTTATCTTGTGGGTTGTTCTGTAGCTAGCTAGCTTAGCAGCACAGGCCTTGTGATGGTTAGGTGTTTTCAGTGTGGCTTCATGATTGTCCACCACTTACAGTTTGACACATTTGACAAGATTACTTCACAAAGCATCAGTGTGGCCTCCATGTAATTCCTTCACTTAGAGCATTTTCTTGGTATTCAATGAGGTGACATTGCATACTCATGAGGAAACCAGACTGTGTTACTGGAAAAACCTACTGGAGATTCTGTTCTTGTGAAGCCTTTCAACATATACCTAAGTGAGTGACCTTTACTGCTGGTCATTTAATCAATATGGCAGGATGAGATGGGGAAGTGGTAATTCTCACTGTAGCCGCAGTTACAGCTGTGGAGGTTCCGTTACACAGTCTGTTCTTGGAGGGAATTGGGTATCAGCTCACGTGTCCAGGACACTTTGCCTTCTGGTCTTTTCTTTTGTCCTTGGTTCTGTCATGTGCCAGTCTCAGACTGCAGTGAACATTTTCTTTTCTTTTTCTAGTCCTGGAACTTGAGCCTGAGAACCCTGCATGGCGGTCAAGCCTTCTGCCACTGAGCTATATCCCCAGCCTCATTTTCTGAAATCACCAGTGCTTTCCTGAGAAAACAGAACTTTCCAGCACAGAAAGTAACTAGATAATGTTGCCTTTAAGATAGAAGGACTCGCTGGGCGGTGGTGGCACACGCCTTTAATCCCAGCACTCGGGAGGCAGAGCCAGGCGGATCTCTGTGAGTTCGAGGCCAGCCTGGGCTACCAAGTGAGTTCCAGGAAAGGCGCAAAGCTACACAGAGAAACCCTGTCTCGAAAAACAAAGAAACAAAAACAAAAAAAAACAAAAAAAAAAAGATAGAAGGACTCTGACTCCAAAGCCTGTCTCACACCCACTGGGGGTCTTTTAACCCAGGAGAGGCACAAGTCCCCCAGGGCCCTTTGTAATCAGAGGGCACCAGTGAGAGCTGGCTTTCTGGCCAAGAGTCACCCCAGGCTCCTGTCCCTGGTTCATAATTGCTTTATTAAAGAAACGTGGTCTTCACATATATAGTCCATCCTTCTACCATCAGCCCCTCTACCTGACTGTAGAGGTAATAATGATTTTAGGGGTAATGTCTTTAGTTTATATTGACTTTCTGGGTTAGATGGTGGACTGGAGCTGGCTTTTTGTAATCTGGTAACAGAACAGACTCCCTTCTGAAAACAGAAAGAAAAGAGCTTCAGGAAGGCACAAAGGAAGCAGTAGAAATACCTGAAGAGACAAACAAGGTCAGCAAAACACTACTAGTAAAGCTTACTAAAGAGAGAGAAGATCAAAATTAACAAATTGAGATGAAAAGTGGAATGTTACAAATTCTCATAAATCCAGAGGACAATTAGGAAATACTTTGGAATCCCATATTCCAAAAAGCTGGAGACTCTAGAAGAAATCATTAACTTCCTAGACATGTATGGCCCACCAAAATGGCTCTCAGTCAAAGCAATACAAGTAAGAGCATGGGAGCTCTGTGTGCTAAGGCCTCCTCCTGTTCGTCTCCTTTGGGTCTCCATGTTTTCGTTGTAGCAGGCCCCCCCCTTGGTTAGTTCTCCTTCTGGCCATTGACTATTGTTGCAGAGTCTTTGCTCTGTGCCTGTTAGTTTTCCATCCTGCACTTTGCTGGAGGTGGCTCATCATTTTTAAGCACTTTGTGGTAGAATCATTGGGGTCTTTTTAAGTACAGAATCATCTCACTTGCAGATAGGGGTACTCAACTGATTTCTTTCCTGTCTGGAAACCTTTTATTTCTTTCTCTGGTCTTACTTCTCTAGATAATACTTTGAAAATAAGAATAGTAAGAATGGGCACCCTTGCCTCATTCCTAATTGCAAAAGAATTTTCCATTTTCCCCACTTAAGTTTGTTGTATGTAGTTGAGGTATGTCCCTTCTATTCCTAATTGCTTCAGTGTTTTTATTAGGAAAGGATGTTGAACTTTATCAAAGGCCTTTTCTGCTGGGCGGTGGTGGCTCACACCTTTAATCCCAGCACTCGGGAGGCAGAGCCAGGTGGATCTCTGTGAATTTGAGGCCAGCCTGGTCTACAGAGCGAGATCCAGGACAGACACCAAAACTCCACAGAGAAACCCAGTCTCGAAAAACCAAAAAAAAAAAAAAAAAAAAGAGGCCTTTTCTATAGCTAATGAGATGATCATGTGATTTCTGTCTTTGAGTCTCTTTATGTGACGGATCTCACTTATTGGGCTGTATGTTAAACCAACCTTAAGTTCCTGGAGTGACACCACTTTGGTCATGATCTGTGATCTCAGTGAGTTACTTCCATACATGAGTAAGTACCAGGGTGTACTTGTGGAGGTCAGAAGACAATTGTGGGAGTAGGTTCTTTTCCTCCTCCATTGGGTTCTAGGGATTGGGAACTCAGGTCCCCGAGCTTGGCACCAAGTACCTTTACCTGCGGAGCCATATTGCCATATTAAGGTACTTCTTAATACTTTGTTGATGTTTTGTGTATGTGTTAAGCTGCATCAAGCTAGCATGAGCTGGGGTTGGATATCTCCCTCCTCCCGAGTAGGAGGTTGCATGGTCCTCCTCTGCAGTGAGGAAGGCTATTGCTGACTGTTCACCCCCAGGTCTGTGGCATCCCATGGGATCGTGCTGCAGTTAACTAGTTTCTCCATAGGGCAGGCTTTGTTAAGGAGCCCAGTGCTCTAGAGTATGGCTCAGTGGTTGGTTCCCTTTCCTTCCTAATGTCAGAGTCAGAAGGGCATTTACTGTGGCAACCTGGTTCGGCTGCTGGTGGGAAAACTCACAAAAGCTTGGAGGACCCAACAGCCTGGGTTTCCATGGAGTTTTCAACTGTGGGAATTACCCACATGGAGCCTCTGGCAACTTGCCGACTGTAGTACAGGTTTTCCTGTGTTGGGGGTTTCAGCTCCTGAGTCTGTTATGCAGTTGTGAGCGCCTGACTGCGTCTCCATGTCTGTCAGTCTGTCTGTCTTGAGGCTAGCAGTTTGCTGTGTTCTTGCCCTTCTTCAGACACGGAAGAGTTGACTTTTTGTTCTGTTCAGCTTTTGGCTTGTTTGGACTAAATACAGACTTTCTATATGTGTAACCAGAAATCAGAATCCCCAAAGTTTTTATGTTACCAATAAGCTCAAAGAATTTTTTCTTCTTTTCTTTGAGATTTTTCACTGTCTTAGAATAGTCGCTTTTATTGACAACATATCTTCTAATGAAAATAGTAAGGAATTTAATCCCATAAAAACCCGGGTTTAAAATATAGTCATGAGGCAACTTGCGGTTGGCAAACGTTCAGTGGAAGTATTTGGTTTTAATTTGGAAATAACTTAATTTGTTCCGAGTTTAGTATATGATGAGGTTTCCCTCTGGTTTTCTTTCCAGGTGTGTGAGAGTTTTTCAACCCTGCTTTCTTCAGGCACACTGGCCTTGTTCGAGCAACAATGTTCTACCTCTTTTCTACAGGAAGTTAGTTATATTAGTATAACATCAGCCCCGAGACCAAACAGAGCAAAATTCAGGGAACAGTCTGAGATCAAAAATTACAAGTGTTCGTTCCCTTTGTCTGACAGTTTTTCACCAGGTAAAGGTTCTCACCAAATGAGAGAATGCAAAGTATTTGCTAGGTGCAGGAAAATGCGGGTCACAAGTGAGTAATAAGTCACACTGTGAAAAGTGTTGAAAGGCATGACTAATGTTTCAGGAGCTTTTGTTGTCTCAGTCCAACACAGTGTGAGACACAGCCCTGCAGAGAATGCCTTAGCCTTTAAGGAAAAAAAAAAGAGAAAAAAGCAGGAGGAGCCCTTATTTACACATAGTGTGTATGCTACATAGTTAAGTAACTATTTTTTATATGTATGCACATTTATGCATTACAGGTTAATTTTAACTCTTTTTAAATTATGAATGCTTCAAGGAAAAGTTCCAGCAATTTCCATGGAAACAAAGCCAAATCCTATGTAAAAGATTTTTGTCTAATAACTCTGTGGGGAAGTTAGACTGTGCCAGATCCCAGGGGAACTCCGGCCTTCATGTTTTCATCTGAATGACGATTGGCAACGCGTTATTCAAAACATTGTTTCCAGGAGAGAGACGAGGAAGAATGTTGGTATTTTTCAAGAATCCAGCTGATCAAAAATAACAGGAAGTGGGAAAAACAACCTGAAATAGGTTGACCACATTAATAATGATTCTCATTTTGCTTAGTCTAACAAGTTAAAAAAAACTAACTTAAAACAAGAAAGCAGTTTTTTTAATCTCATAAATTGTTTTGTGTTGATCAGAAGGGTTTTTTTTTAACCATTTTCCAGCAACTTTTAATAAAAAGTCCATGTGTTAAACTAAATAAGTCAGTGTTTTATATTTGCAAAGCTTAAAAACAGCATGTTCCATTTTGAGACATTCCTTGAGGAGTGTGACAGAGAAAGACACTTGTCCAGTCCTTTGGGCAGTTCTGAGTGCTTCTCATTGTGTTCACGTAGGTGGAGTTGGACACAGCGCTGAGTGACCTAGAGGCCGCAGACTTCGAAGAACTGGTAAGAGGAGGAGGGTATCCGCTGAGGTACAGCGCTGAACTCTCAGTTTGTAATCAGTTAGTCTGGGTGTCTGGCAAGAGCCTGAGAGCATTCGGCCTCGGTTTTGACACTGGCAAATGTCTACTTGCCCCAAGGCTTTCTATTCATCCAAAAATACTGGCTGTACCATGTGCGTTATGAGGCTTAGACAGTGATTAACTAACTAACACTAGGACTTTGTGAGGACAGAGATGGAGATGGTGTGATGATCTGAGAACACTGTAAGTCCGAACTAAATTTGGAACTCTCAGTGGGACTTTCAACTTTTTAAAAATTTCTATTTCTTTGGTCTCCCCAATGAAAAGACCAACAGGTAAACAATAAATATTATTAACACTCAAGTCACTGTGTATAAACAACTCCTCAGAGACATGGAAGGTTCCAGAACTTTCAGAACTGACGCAAGTAATGCATCTTGGGGCTGATGATGTCATCAGAAGATGACTCAGCATACTGAAATGCATCCAGAGTGTTGAAGTCTGTAAGTTCATATAATGCTTTGAAAGAAGGGGAACCAAGTCATTTTGTGCAAACTGGTGGTAAGTGGGGAAGAAGTAGACATTTGTGCTTCCTCTCTGAAACACACACATATCAAGGTGACCGAGCACGCCGAGATAAAGAAGGCAACGGGCAATACACGGTCGGGAACTGCCTTGGCTTCTTTACCTTTTGTTGTGATAACATACGCTGTTGACGTCCATCTTCCATTTATACAGTCCAGGATCCCAGTGTAGGGAGTGGTCCTCCCCACTGTTAAGATGGGTCGCCCCAGGTCAATTAAGATACCCAAGATTGTAGCTAGAGTTTCCCTGCTTGGTCCACAGTCAGGACAAATCTGTCACCTGCCAGTCCCACAGCCGCTCAGTCCTGACCAAGTAAACACAGAGACTTACATTGATTACAAACTGTATGGCCGTGGCAGGCTTCTTGCTAACTGTTCTTACAGCTTAAATTATTCCATTTCTCTAAATCTATATCTTGCCACATGGCTCGTGGCTTACCGGCATCTTCACATGCTGTTTGTCATCGTGGCGGCTGGCAGTGTCTCTCTGACTCAGCCTTCCACTTCCCAGCTTTATTCTCCTCCTTGTCCCGCCTATACTTCCTGCCTAGCCAATGGCCAATCAGTGTTTTATTTATTGACCAATCAGAGCAACACATTTGCCATACAGAACATCCCACAGCATAAGATAATCCCCCAACATGCCTAGAGGTTCACGTCCCACGTGATTCTGCAATTGCAGGTTGACACAGAACACGTTTTGTGGTGTGGAAGCACACAAAACACCCGTGAAATACCTAAGTGAGGGATTATATCATCTATCACCACTAAGTAAAGGGCATGTCAAGTGACTGCATTTGTAGAAGGGAAGTTATAATCAGTTAAATCTAGACTGGAGACGTAGGCTATTTCTCCAACAAATAATCACAGAAAGATGAAGACAGAGACAAGAGGAGAAAGACCTCGAAAGAGGATTTGGAGAGACAGCTGTGTGAACCAAGTTCACTGTACCGTCTTCCTTGGCTTCTCATTCAAACAGTTTTTTTCAAAATATCAGTGAGGTGGGGCATGGTGGCACACACCTTTAATCCCAGCACTAAAGAGGCAGAAGCAGAGGCAGTTGAATCTCAAGTTAAGGCCAACCTGGGTTACATAGTAAGGCCCTTTCTCTAAGTACATAAATATATAAGTGAGTAGACATTTGTGAGACAATTAAGGAAATATAGTGCTGACGGCTGTGTTAGATGAGAATAAATCTTTCAACATTGGCATTACGGCTTTATATTTTCTTAAGATCTCTCCTGTTAGAGTACATTATTTTTTTATGTGTATGTTTGTACTGGAGTGTGTATATATGTATACCATATACATGCTTGATCCCACAGATAGGATAGGATAGGATCCCCTGGAACTGGAGTTGCAGGTGGATATGCTCTGCCACTGGGTGTTGAGAGCTGAACCTGGGTCTTCTGCAAGAGCAATGACCTCTCTTAACCTCTGAGGCATCTCTTCATCCCCTTAGAGTACATTCTGAAGTTATTTCCAGAAGAAGTATATCTGGGGTTGGTTCAAAATAATGTAGCGAGAGAGAGGGAAAGAACAAGGCGTGAGGGAACAGAATGACCTCACACTCACCTCATCAAGTCTGGGTAGTAAGTAGCAGGCATGAAGGAGCTGAGGCTACTGTTTTCTGCCTTCCAGCTTCTGCCTCAGCCTCCTAAGCTCTGGCCACACAGGCATGTGCCACCATGCCCAGTTCTGATCGGTCCTCTTATTTCTGAGTAGTAGTGCATCATATGATATAACACAGTTTCAAAGATACTTGGGTTATTTCTGATTTTTCATTTCCTCTACGTTCAGGATAAAATTAACAGATGTATGTTGCAGGAAGAGGCAAAGACAAATGGTTCTCTTCATCCTTTCCCAGTGGCACCCCAAGAGTAACTGCTCTAAGAGCTTGGAATGGATCTTTCTAGACTTGTCTGTATCCTTACATTCCTACACGAAACCCCACATGTATGGATATACATATTGCATATAGGTGTGGGACAGTGCACACCGTTCAGCAAAAATCAGATGTAGTGGTGTTTTGTTCTAGAACTTGCCATTTCTGCTGAGCAATGCAGTAACTTTTATGCCTGTATTATTCTAATGCCTGTGCTGTTCTCTGGCACATCAAACGTAGCTGGTCTTTCCTCCATTGCTGAATGTGGCATTATCTCTAATTTGTATTCCAAATAATTCACTACTGACTTGTACAAAAATGTCTCGATTCACTCAGTTATCTTATAGATCCCCAGAGGAGGGATCACTTGAATAGTGTGTGTGTTCTGATTTTTAAATATCATTCACTTGCCTACAAATAAGTTGTGCTAAATTGTGCTTTCAAAAGTAGTGCATGGTAATATTGGATATTGTGGGTTAAATAGGAGCTTTCTTGTCATAACAGTCATTTTCAGAGTCCCTCATGGAAGAGCAAATGCTGTGTTCTATTGTTGTAGGACCACAAGTAAAGCTATTAGACAAGTAAACACATTGGTCTTTCACCCCAGTCCTCTAGCATTTTCATGTCAAAGGTACCATAGCAAGTTGTTTCTAGGGCGATGGTGGTGCATGCCTTTAATCCCAGCACTCAGAGGCAGAAGTAGGTGAATCTCTATGAGTTTGAGGCCAGCCTGGTCTACAAAGTGAGTTCCAGGACAGCCAGGGCTATACAAAGAAACCCTATCGGACTATACAGAGAAACCCTATCTCGAAACACATACACACACACAAAGTTATTTCTAACAAATATAATAATATAATCTCTACTTCAATTATTGTAGCTTAGCTAGAATATTTTTATCTTTTACATAAATGTAAATAAATAAGTACCACATTATAAATGAACTGTGAATTTCTCCCCAGTCCGAAGATTACTATGACATGAGACGGCTGTACACAATTTTGGGGTCTTCTCTGTTTTACAAGGTAAGTTGGAGCTTGAAATATTTATCAATATCCAACTGTTATAGACCGAAAGTAAATTTTCTCAAACTTTTACACACATGAGAGAAATGTTACCACTTGACTTCTTTGTGTAGGCACAAGACTATGGACTGGAAATAACACCTCAGAGATTTGTAAATACCATAAATATTTATGTTTTACCATATACTAAGGCATTTCCAAATGTGTAGAAGTGAAAAAGTACTTAAAAGAATAAAGCATATAAAAGAGAAGAGCAATATGTTCTTTTTTTCAGAATTTTTAAAAATGGCATGCATTTAGTGTGTGTGTGCGTGAGCCGCAGAGCGTATGTGAAGGTCGAAGGACAACTTGAAGGAGTTGTTCTCTCCTTCGACCATATGGAGCTCCCAAGACCGAACTCAGGCCATCAGGCTGGTGGCCAGTGCCTTTACCCATGAGCTCTCTCCAGCAATATATTCTTAATTTCCCTTTGCAGTGATGTTCTTGCTCTTTTAACCTCTTCTTCAGAAGTGACATATAGTGCATCTTGTGGCATTGAGTAACTACTTCCATGTAAAGCATTAAGAATTGCGTCAGTTTAAGTATTTAACTTAAAAATATCTTTAAAAACAGTAAATAACATACTTAACATAGATTCATTGCCACAGGAGGTACACAGAAAAGAGCAAGTCTGTGCTGACCTTGGCCCCTGCTTCCTTTCTAGTCCTGGTTTTACCAAGCTTTCACAGGGATCCCACTTGAGGTGATCTTGTTTTGTCCGAAGCCTTGTCAGAAGCCGTCAAACTTGATCTGCAGTTTGCCTCAGAAAAAAGTATGGATTTTACCAGATCTTAGCTTACTCCCTCTGGAACTGCATTATTTGAAGTCTACTCTTGCAGTGTTTATGAAACTCTTAGAAATGCAGATCATTGATTTATGTTACTAGCTGGCTTTGGCTCTTGGTGGTTAAATCCCAGGGTTATTTGGTGTGCAGCCATCTACCGAAGGATGATGTTGTTGAGATTGCCGCGTACTGCCGCCACTACTGCCTGCTGCCTCTAGCAGCAAAGCAAAGGATTGGCCAGCTGATAATATGGAGAGAAGTCTTCCCACGGTACCACCTCCAGCCTCCTGCAGATGCAGACACCGAGGTCTTCCAGGAACCCGAAGGGAGATATTTTTTACTAATTGTCGGATTGGTGAGTGAGGAATGTCTTTCTTGAATTTTATTTTATACTTTTAAAATCTACTTGCTTAAATACACAAACAAACATGCTCATTTACAAGCATGAGTATGTTAATTACTTGTATTCAAGAAAATAGTATGTGCCCCTCTATTTCCTTTCTTTTATATCTATTTAATACTCATGAAGAAATATTAGTAAAATCCACTGTACAGTTTTAGCAGGGTCTGTAGATGTTTTGTTCCCCTTTCTGTAGTGTTTTTTTTTTCCTTTGGCTTGTTTTGGAAAACATGGAACAATATTTATTTGAGCCCTGCATAGTGATGATCCCTAAAATCCCAGCACTTGGAAGGCTATGAGGCAAGAGGATTGATTCCAAGTTTGAGTTTGAAGGCAGCCTGGCCTATACATAAATTCTGTTTGAAATGATGGAGGTGATAATTGAGGCTATTTGAAAGTTTTCTTAGGAAATTCTGTGGACTAAGAGAATTGATTGATGGTCAATTGATGCTTTATCAAAATAAAGCAGTGTGGAAGTGTTTCCACTTGAGGTCAAGAAGCTTTGATGATGGTGAAAACAGAGGAGGGAGAGATTTTCGGTACTCATTGAGGTTTTGCAAATGCTCATATGCCTTTAGGACAAACTTATACATATGGACTATATTAAGTATTTTCGTGGCAGCTGAACCTGTACCAATCTTCCTTTGCAGCGACATTATATGTTGTGTGTGCTGTTAGAAGCCGGAGGCTGTACATCTAAAGCTACTGGGAATCCCGGTCCAGATTGTATCTATGTAGATCAGGCCAGAACAACTCTTCATCAGCTGGAAGGAGTAGACTCCCGCATCGAGGAGCAGCTAGCCTCATCTCTGGGGCCCTCTCTGTCTTGTGCTGACTGGTTCCTTGCTGCACCACGTGAAAAGGCAGATAGTTTGACCACTTCACCCATCCTCAGTAGACTGCAGGGGTCCACCAAGACAGCGACCTCTCCAACATGCAGAAGAACCTTTTTCAGTGACTATTCCTTCAAGGCACGGAAACCCAGTCCCTCCCGGAGCAGTGGAGGATGTGAGCCTGGTGAAGGTGGAGAAAGTGCTGGTCCTAGCCCACACACTACCCCAGATGCAATACGGAGGCAAAGAGAATCCGGTGGTTCAGAGGACAGCGCAGCCTTGCTTAAGGTGTGCGTTCATCCAGGTGTCTGCATTGTGATCCATAACTGCTGGGAATTTTGGTTTTTTTAGTTGGGAGAATGTTCCTTATTAGAAATGGTGGGTGTTGTAGTCATTGCTGGAAAACCAAAGACTAGAGAAAGAAATACCAAGTGTCATCACATGAACCCTTGGCATCTAGGATGTTCATGCCACAATGCTTCCAGGTAGAGGAGCTTCAACCCCTGGCCTACATGCATTGGTCTTTCTCCTGTGTTGACAGGGATGACAGAACATCCCAGCTATGGGGCAGTTTCAGTGTCGCTCGAAGTAGCCAGTAAAATAGTTAACAGGCACAAATGATCAGAATGAAGAGGAGACGCCTATTTGTAGTAGCTAAGGTTTTAAATCTACATTTAGGAGTGTCACAAACATTAAAACTGTGACTGTGGGATTGGGGATTAGCTCAGTGGTAAAGCGCTTGCTAGGCAAGCGCAAGGCCCTGGGTTTGGTCCTCAGCTCCGTAAAAACAAAACAAAACAAAACAAAACAAAAAAACTGTGACTGAAGCACAGAGGTTGTTCATACTTGAGGGAATGATTTTTATCTGCTTTTTCCATACGTACTATAAAATACCCAAACAGCTGTTAGCATCATCATCACCCTTGGGAGCTTTGCACTTACTCCTGTGATGCTGGGGTCTCCCCAGACAGTTTGGAAACTTGCTATCACGTGGATGGAGGTGATGCCAGACACGGCAGAAGGAAGCTTGAATCTGAAGATGGGCTCCGTGTTTCTGAGTGGTGTGCTGTGCACAAGCACAGATATTCTCTCGCATATACACAAACAGTGGGATGCATTGGAGCCATGAATAGAATGTATTAGGAAGCGCTTGCATCCTAGCTATAACCTGTTATCTCAGTTGGTAAAATCAGTAGGTAACAGAGACCAAGAGGATTTGGGTAAATTATGTATACCCAAGCTCTAGTCAGCTGCCATGAGTCAGGCACATATCTGTGACCTTGAGGCATCCAGACTGCTGAAGAGAGACACATACATGTGCATATACATTTGATAATGGAACTGGTAGGGAGTTTTCACCATGACCTCCTGACTTGACCTTGGAATACTCCTTAATAAAGAATAAGCCAAGAGATGCAGATTGGCATAAAAAGTATTTAATGGAAGTATGCATCACAAAAATAGCGCTCTTAGAAGGTTTTGAATTTCTGAATCATTTCTGTTCTTTGATCCTATTCTTAGATACAAACTGACCTACTTATCTTCCAGCTCGCTAGAAAGAAATCGACACTTCCAAATCCGTTTCATTTGGGAAATTCGAAAAAAGAACTTTCAGAAAAAGAAGTGGAAGTCTATAACACAACGAAGTAAGAGCCTTCTAGCTTGCCTTTTCACTTAAGCTCATTGTCGTGGAGGGGCTTTACAGTGAGAAAAGTGCAGAGACGATTCAACAAGCGTAATTACAATATAACTCACAGATATGAGGTAATATCTGTGGTGTTTCTGTAATGTTTCATTTACACATTTGGGGAAATGAACATATTTGTATTCTAAAGAAAACACCAGAAGTGGTATTTCAAAACGTGAAAGTTGCTCTGTACCCCTTTCCCACAGACAATGTACTTTTTGGATGTCTATTTTTTAAATTCGAGTTTAAAGACTAGTTTTAGACTCTAGTAGATGCCTGATTATGCCCAGCCCAGTGCCTGTAAGTGATAGCTGCTCCTGGCAGACAGCTCAGAACGCTCAGTTCTAGAGAACAAAGGGTTGGCCATTCGCCTAAATTCAAGACGGCTGTGAAAGGCCATCCACGCTTCCGATTCCAGGTGGTGGGTGGTACCTTTAGCAACTGCAGCACAGTTCAGCTTCTCTGTAGAGTGCTTCTGTCCCTCGACCCTCTGCTGCAGTCCATGGAAGACATCCCACTAACTTCCTCTTGAGTCTCCCTCTCAGACTCTGCGTCCTCGAAGCTGGTCTTGAGCAAATAGATAACACTCAAACTTACGTTGAGTAAGAAATTCTGAAGTAAAAAGACTTGAATAAAGAAGGAGTGTATGATTACCTTATGAAGTGTTATACAGTCACCGTGTGTGTGTGTGTGTGTGTGTGTGTGTGTGTGTGTGTGTGTGTGTGTAATGGTACGTGGAAGCTAGAGGATCACCTTGATTGTCATTCCTCAGGAGCTCCCTAGCTTGTCTTTTGAGACACGGTCTCTCACTGGCCTGTTGTTAAGCATGCTAGGCCGGCTTGCTAATGAGCCCCGGGGCTCCAAGGTCTCTGCCTTCTCACAGCTGGAGCTGTAAATGTGCACCACCATGCCCAGGTTTTTTTTCATGGGTTCTGGGGTTTGAACTCTGGTCTTCATGCTTGCAAGCAAGCACTTTACTGGCTGAGCCAACTGTAGCCTCACAAGCACCTCTTTTACATTGATTATGTGGCTAGCTACCTGATCTGCCTGAATCTTCTTGCCTGATATTTATGTTGATGTCATATGTGGGACCAGCTGATAAAATCAATTGCACTTAAGCAATAAGACATGTAGAAGTAGAATTCACATACATAACCACCACCGTCTAAGTGACAGAAATATTTTCTAAGTGCAAGTGTGTAAATAGCAACTGCCAGGAAATACTTTTTTTTCTGAAGTTAGGGCAAAAGGAAGAAAACTTATCTTATTAAAATAGTGCTCTGAAAATCTAATGTGTTAACATTTAATACCTCTACACATATTTAATTTTTTTTGGTTTTGTTTTTTTGTTTTTTCGAGACAGGGTTTCTTTGTGTAGCTTTGGAGCCTATCCTGGACTCACTCTGTAGACCAGGCTGGCCTCGAACTCACAGAGATGCCTCCCGAGTGCTGAGATTAAAGGTGTGTGCCACCACCGCCTGGCTACATGCTTAATTTTTAATAGTTCAAAATTGTTAAACAAGTAAATTTGAATACAACCTTCTTTGGTGAGCTGAAACCCCTTTAAAAACCCTAGTCTTCCATTTAGCAAATAAGTTCAAAATTTGAGGTAATTTCATTACTGCCATACCATATTTTTTAAATGCATGCATTGTTTTGATATTATATCTAGTAAAAGGAAACTTTCAAGTTTAATAGCTTACGTAAATCCACATGTATAAATCACAGGGTTTCTTATTTAAAAGATGCCAGAGATGGGTAACTTATTCATTACCGATGTGGAAGCTTCATTTTAAAAGCATGTTATTAGATAAATGCACTCTGTTGCTCTAACTTGTATGCACACATCATTGTAAATATATGATTTTTAATCTTCTACACCAAGTGTTTTGTTCAATGGCAAAGTCACATCCACTTTGTGTTTCTACAATCCCCGCCTACCTCTGCCTCCATAATACCATTTTGCATGAAGGTCCCTGTTTTCCTCCCTGGCTTTATTGCTTTGGCCTCCCATCTCCTGAAACTCAGCACTGGAGAAGAAAAGACTGGATTCAGAGAAAGCAGGCTGCAAAGTCACCAGGCCCTACTTGACTGTGCAGCTGAGTCAGGTTCACCCCAGTCCATCCCAGGACACTACTTCCCCATGGTTAAGAGGAATAGAATAACATTTACTGTCATGCATGATCCTTATGAAAACTGAAATTAAGTTACTTTCAAGCACACACTGGCATGGTAGCTGTTATCCTTTCTTGCTTTTTGTTACTCTTTTAATTCTTCTTCCTTTGGGGAAACATAAACATTCTTTATAGGTTCTGCTGACCTATCTGATATTACATATGGAAGGAAGATATTGGAAAGAAAAGAAAAGCTGAAAACAGTGAATATTGTTGGAACATGGTCCAAGAATAGAGTCATGTGAGAATTCTGTGTGCATGTGAGAAAAAAATGCCAAGAAACCAAGACAAGAGTCTTGTGACCTCAGTTTCTTCAAAACATGGAATTGTTCTTGAAACATGCTTTCATGCCCCTCCCAGGTGTAGCAGCTAGGAGTGAGTTTGCATCATTTTATTCATTACAGCTGGCTATTGTAATTTGTTTACATGCCTCTATGGAAAAACATGTTTCTGCCACATGTGGCTTGCTCGATACATGCAGCATGTCTGCCATGTGCACCTTACCCTTGTGATTGAATACTTTACTCATATGACCCCTCTTAACCCTCAGAGTATAAATTGTCTGATGCTCTGAATAAAGTTGGCTATTATATGAGACTGTAGTCGGCCTCATTTAGACCCACTCTCCCAGGTCCCAGCACCTCTAGAGAGGAAAACAGAGTGTGAGAAGAAGGTTGTAGTATGTAGAATACTATCAGCTGTTGGCACCGTGATAAGGATGTTAATCCAGAGTGTGAGAAGGTTGTAGTAGTGTGAAATACTATCAGCTGTTGGCACCATGATAAGGATGCTAATCCAGAGTGTGAGAAGAAGGTTGTAGCAGTGTGGAATACTATCAGCTGTTGGCACTGTGATAAGGATGTTAATCTAACTTTGTGACTGCTAATCATTTTATATTTATTCAGGCTCATCAGTATTGTTGCCATGCAAGGAAGTTTAGTGATGCTGATTTCAACGTGTTTAGTTTGGTAGGAGATAATATTGTATGTGCCCTACTACTCTAAACTGATACCATTTTCATGGCTTGTTGAAATTTAGGCCAAACATGAGCTCAGTTATTCTTACGAACCATGGAAAAAGAGGGCTGAGCCAATTGGTTGTTTAATGAAGAGACAATTTAAGTTACTTGCAAATGAATTTGTGTTTATCCTTCCATGGCTGGTACTGTTGGTCTCCATTAGGGAATTAAGAATAGCCGAGCATGTACTTTAGTCAAGGACAGGGAGTTAAGCGTTTGGCTCAGCTTTCTGTCCATAATTGTACTGCTAATAGTATTTCACATAGTCTGTGAGGATGCTGCCAAATTCAAAATGAAATAATTCTTCCAACTGTGCTTAAATTTCCTTCTCTCTCCTTTTCAAGGTTGACCTCTGGTCCTGATAATACACTCTTCCACTATGTTGCCTTGGAAACAGTGCAGGGCATCTTCATCACCCCCACCCATGAAGAGGTGGCTCAGCTAGGCGGTTCCGTCCACACTCAGCTAATTAAGAATTTCCATCAGTGTTGTCTCTCTATCCGTGCACTTTTCCAACAGACACTGAAGGAAGAGGTAAGTATTTAAGTATAGTTTTCTGCCAGTATCAACTGTCTGTTTTCTTTAATCAACATGACCAGCAGTGTTTCATTTAACTCAGTTATACTGAGCTCTGTGGTCTGGAATCTTACCTGTGGAAATGGTGGACCTGGCTTTTCCACAGCAAAGTGCAAAATGGTAGTTTATGATATCAGGTAGCCACTCATATCTGATATTTGTCTTTTAACCATTTGTTAATCGATGGCTAGTGCTTCAATCCAGGATGAGATTTCATTTAATGTGGCACACCATTCTTAAATAGTAATTTTATATATAATTAAAAGATCAATTGGATTCTTGTGGTGACGGGAAAATTGGTATTGATCTCTTGTTATGAAAAATATTCAGAGCTTTATGGCTAGAACTGCAGCTTCGTTGGCACAATGCTTATCTAACATCCAGGAAGCCCTGGGTTCCATGTCCTACTCTGAATAAACCTGTACAGTGGGTGCACATCTGTAATCCCAACACCCCAGAGGCAGAAGCAGGAGGATGAGAAATTCAAAAGCAATCTCCAGCCTCGTAGAAAGTCTGAGGCTAGCCTGGGCTACATAAAACCCTGTCTCAGAAAACGGAAGAAGGACTGAAAAGGTGGCTCAGCAGTTAGGACACTTAACGCTCTTGTAGAGGTCCTGGGATTTGGTTCCCAGCACCACATAGGCAGCTCACAGCCTCCTGTAACTCCAGCTCCAAGGAATCTGATGCCCTCCGGACTCCATAAGCACCTGCACACATGTGATGCCTAAACTAACTTTATTAAGGCACCTACTCTGCACCAGATACTATTCGAGATGCTAGGAAAGAAAACAAACTAAATCCCCTCCCTGAAGCCCATCTCTCAGTGAAGGAGCTAAATGAACTGACAAATACCAGTATCAAATCCAGTAGAGTAAATGTCAAGAGGAATTCAGTCATAGGCTGAGTGGTAAAAGTTCCCCTGATCTTGACAAGCAAGTTTTTAATGAAGAGGGAAAAGGTTGTGTGGCTGTCTGGAGAGCGCAGCTTCTGACAGAGGGACACGGCCACTGTGGGTACTCACTGGCATGGGCACATATGCGGACACACACAAATCTTTAAAAAATAGACCAAATGTGATGACGCATGTCTGTAATCCAACCACTCTGGAACAAGAGACAGTAAGAGAGTCACAGGTTTGAGACCAGCTCCAGGTCAACCAGGGCTATGGTGTGAGAACCTGTCTTAGAGACAGGGGGTGAAGAGGTAAGGGGAAGGGGAGGGGATAATATTTGCTCTCTGCTTGGGGGAAAGCTTGTAATCTACCTTAGGAGGTAATGTTTAAATCAAGAATTGAAGAAGAATAGGAATTTTCTGCAGGTTAACAGGAAAAGTAGCATTGTAGACACTTAGAACCAGAGTCAGCCATCATTATCATCTTCAGATATTTATGTGAAACCATTTTATCTTTCTTCTGGGTTCTGTGTATGCTAAGCAAGCATTCTATCCCTGAGCTACATTCCCAGGTCCAAACATTTTAAACTAACACTGCGTACTAGTCAGTACTCATAACTACTGTTCATTTTCAGAAAAAGAAAGCACTGCGTGGTGCAGAGCATTCGGAGTCTGCAGATTCAGTGGCTTCTCTGACCCCTGTGATAGAGCATGGCGTGCTGTTTGAATGTTCGCCTGAAAATTGGACTGATCAGAAAAAAGCACCACCAGTTATGGCTTACTGGGTGGTGGGGTAAGTGTGAGGGAAGTGTGTGCACGTCAAATGAGAGATTAGAAACGTGAGGCAAAGTAGCAGAGGTAACTGATATCTTTAATCATTGTCCTGGGATTGTAATCAAGCTAACGTCTTCTAATGTATTTTCGAGTTTGATTTTTTGTTTTGGGAGGTTTTTTACCCTCTAAATACCTCCCTTGTGTCCTTCTGTTGGAGATAAGGGAGGATAATGGGGGGAGGGGTTTGATAAAAGGATGGATGGATGGATGGATGGATGGATGGATGGATGGATGGATGGATGGATGATCAGGAGCAAGGCTTCTCAGAGACCTTCCCAAATCACTAAGAGGACATTGACCCCACATTTCTTTCCCTTTCCCCCACATCTTTCTTTTCTTTTGTCTCTCCTTTCTTCCCCTCTTCCTTCTTATTCTTTACTTTTTCACACACTCCTTTAAGACCCACCTGTCTGGGTTACTCTGTCTGTCCACTGTGGGCCAGCTTCATTGGCACTGGGCAGCTGTTCCTGCCTTTTCTTCTATGTGGGAGTTTCCCCCTTTACATCCATCAACACTGACAGGTTGTGCTCTATGGAGGACCCACGCAGAGCTTCCTTGCCCTCCGAAGTGGCACCAGTCATTTTCAGCGGCACCTCCTTCCGGTTTTTTTTGTGTGTGTGTGTGTGTTTGCTTATTGCCATTCCCCTCACCAGAGTGCCAGCCTCATGAAATCGGGGTTCTTCCATGTCTCCCACTGTTGATGTCTGTTGTAGCACCTGGCTCTCAATAGCAACTTGATAAAATATAAAGGTGTATTAGATGGAGTGATGTTAGGCAAGCAGCGTGGATGGATGAGTGAGTAGCATAGTGAACACAGAGGCAAAAATATAGTCATTACCTCCCAGCTTTACATCTTGTAGAAGAAATATGAAATACGTACACTCACTCTGTATTTATAGATACAATATTAACATATATCTACATATTTATATGTAAATATGAATGTCCTCATATATGTATATGCATGCACACACAATAGACTTGACCAAACACAGGAATTCTGAAGAGAAAAAAATCCAAGCAAGGATTAAAAAGCAAGGCACATTGAAAATTCATTTGATCCTGTTTAAAAAATGAATTGTCTTTGGAATGAGCCTTCTAGGTTAAGGAAATGGGGTGGATGAACAACGGTTCACACAAAGGCAGTCATCAGGCATGACAGCGAGATGTGTTGACGGGATGTATGTGAATGACCCACACAAAGTTAAACTGAGTGACTGCACTAGAAATCTTCAGTTAAACCTGTTGCTGAGAGCCTCTGGTTCCTAGCTAAGGAACTGAATTTTTAAAGGAAGGGCTGAACAACAGAAAGTTCTTGAGGCTGGGGTAAAGAGTATAGAGGAAAGGACACAGTTTGGTAGGACTATAGTTGTTGGACACCTACCAGGTAGTTCTAGGCTATGTGATAGGCACTTTACAAATGATACAGATCAATAGCCTAGCCACTGGTCCATGGAATTGAGAACCACCAAATCAATTGTGGAATCCAGAGCTTCCTGCACCTGTGCCCAGATCCACTGAGTCAGAATCTGGGAGTAGGACTCTGGTTTTAAGCTCTCTTGTGATGTAATTAACTAGATTTGAGAATATCAGCTTGAATGTGATTGTATAATGCCATCAGAGCTGTGTTACTATAATTTATCTGGACATAGCCTACAGGTGCTGCTAGGTAGGTGCACAGCCAGGTGCACATTCAGAACAAGGAAGAGAAGAACCAGATGGTCCCATTAGGGAACAGAGTATATAAGAGAGCTTTAAAGGATGTCAGACAGAACCATCCCCAAATAAACTGTTCAGTTTATGTACATTGTACTGAAGAGAAATAGATTTAACTTCTTTTCTTTTTGAGACTGAATCTCTAAAAGGATGGCCTCAAACCCATGATCCTGCTGCTTCAGCCTCCAGAGTTCTTACAATTACAAGTGTGTCCCACCATACCTGGCTCTGTATGAAAAATTTCGCTCTTTAGAAAAACCAAACAAAATTTTAATGTTAGGTGGAATGTAGGCAGATTTTTCTGTCCTGTCTGCCAGCTCCCAAATAACTACACGAAGAGTTTTTAGTAATTATGAAAGCTTGGCTGATGGCTTAGGCTTATTAGTAATTAGCTCTTACAACTTAAATTAACCCATATTTTTACTGATCTGTGTTCTATCACATGGCTTTTACCTCTATCCCATTTTTGTGTCTGACTCATTCTGCATCTGTCTGGGTTCTTCCTGCATCTCCTCTCTTCTTCTTCCCAGCATCCTCTCTGCCCCCAAAATCCTGCCTAGCTATTGGCCGTTCAAGTTTTTATTAAACCAGGCCTAGTGACAAATCTTCACAGTTTGAAAAAGGTTATTCCACAACAGAGGGGGGGGGGGTAATTCAGTGGGTAAAGTACTTGTCATGCAAGCGTTAAGATCCAAGTTCAAATCCCCAGAGCCTGTGTAAAACCAGACACAGCAGAGCACATCAGTAGTTCCAGTGCTGCTCTGGAGAGATAGGAGGCAGACAGGAGAAGCCCAGAAAGCTCGAGGTTTGCAGCAGTAGACAACAGAATTCTCAAATCAGGTGAAAGACTAGAGCCAATGCCTAAGGCTTTCTGTTCGCCTGCGCATGCACACACCTTGGTGTGCATGGACACTCAAGCGCACATACAAACGCAGTGCTCATCCAATTCTGTCTGCAAATGAGTTGCCATTTTTATGTTTTAATAATAATAGTAGTTTAAATGTAAGTGAAAATAAAATACTTCATGGCTACTGTGCTTAAAATGATATAGGAAGTATTGCCTGAATGATAATAATAAGCAGGTTTAATATTCAAGACTGAGGGGTTTGGTGATGTGCATTGATTAAATAGGAGTTTTTACACTCTAGGTCAATAACACTAAAAATTAGGACATACATTATTTATTTAGAAAACGAGCTGTATTCTATTTTCTGTAGACTTAGATTCATGCGTTTTTGGTGGTGATGGTGGTGGTAGGTATTTTGTTTGTTTTTTGTTTTTTTCAGGTTATTATTGGTTTCCCCCAAAACAGAAAGAAAACAAAGGGGAAAGGTTTTTAATCCCCTTTAATTTCTGAAATGACCACGTTTTTTCTTTTTGCAGGAGGCTCTTCCTTCACCCAAAACCTCAGGAACTGTATGTCTGTTTTCATGACTCGGTCACAGAAATCGCCATTGAAATGGCATTTAAATTGTTCTTCGGATTAACATTGTAGCTGTGTTTGTAGGATGCACAAATGGACGAACCATGGGACAGTGTCAGAATGGCTGAAATCAACATAGAGAGATCAGGCTCAGCTTAGTCCTTTTTCAGTATTGAACTTATCTTGTTAAATATTGAGATGCAGTGCTGTTAGGCTGGTACATCCAGTCATATGTAGTATTATATGAGACATCTGAGCAGATACTTGATCAAAATACGGAGACAAGATTGCTAATTTATTGCCATTTTGGTATACCATGCTAATTTATTGAGTAGTTTTAAATAATGTAAACTCTTTAATAAAAATTAATAGATGTTTATTTGGGGATCATATTTAACTCATTGTTTGTCTTTCTTTGAACCCATGCTGACTTATTCCTGGTGAAGGAATCATAAAATTGAAGAGATGACAGGTTGTATAGTCAGTCAGTTCTGTGCTGCGAGGGGCCCTCACCTGTCAGGCCTCAGAGCATCTGTGTACTAATAACATTATTATTGCATTGGGATTTTTGAACATCACAGTTAAGAAAAATGCATTGTTTTTGTTTTGTGTATTGGTCAGTATCTAAATTTGCAATATCTGTGTTCTGGTTTCTTAGCAAATCAAAAGCTTTTGCATTAGTTTTAAGTATTTTAGTAGATACCTCACTGCAGAGGAAGATGGGAAGGACGAAAGTCAAAGTTAATTTATATTTACTTGATTCTCTTTACTCTTTGTGATAAACTTTATTTTGGATTGGGATACATATTTTTAATCATCCATAAGTTTCCATTGCTTTTTTTCTTCTTGTTGAAGGACATTTTGGTACACATACATTTTTATATCACCTCTACCAAGTCATATTAAAAATACTGGAAGAGGGCTGGAGAGATGGCTCAGAGGTAATGAGCAAGTACCTCACTGGAAGAGACCTGAGTTCAGCTCTCAGCACATGCGCGCGCGCGCACACACACACACACACACACACACACACACACACACACAAAATTAGAAAATAAAAGCCTTTTTAAAACACTGAAAAAAAAAACAGGTTAACACTGTCCTAGGGTAACTTCTTTTATAAAATACTAATTTTTGTCTTACAAATAAACGTCAGTCTGTACTGGATTTTCCCAAAGGGAGAGGGAAGGAGCACTTTAACTGACAGCAGCTTACTTGAGCTTCACTAGTACAGCTTGACTAGACACATGTTTTCTTTGGCCATGAGAATTTAGTGTATGGAAGAAAAGAAAAATACAGTAAATCTACATTTATTATTACCATCTACCCTAGTGGACTTCCCACAGGCTCAATATCCCCACACTTCCCAGCCCTGGGTAGTTTCTCCTTCAAGGATTATGTATGTTGGAAGGCAGGCTATCTAAAGTCGATCTAAAGTTCATCTCTGCATTTTCCCTCCTTTGAACATGAGCCTTCCAGCTTAAAACTACAAAGCATATCAGTGCGCCCTGAGCCATTTGGTCTTATAAAAAATACTGTTTAAGAGAGTCTCATCAAGGCATTGGTGACAGACACCCACTGTTTACATCACCAGTGACTCCTGGGCTTTAATTTCAGTTTCCAAGTAAGAGAAGGAAATTTTGGATCTTGAAATGTAGAGAACAGTTTGAAATATCTCCCCTCTTAACACTGAGTCCAATTAGTTAAGACTATCTTCTGTCTTAGACTGCCTGTGTGCCAATGTATGTGTTCAGCATTTCTAAAAATGTATTTATTAAATGTCTTAAATTTCTGGATATCCCCTCAAATCCCAAACTGTTTCTAATACTGATCATTATGATGAATGTAGCCATTGATCACCTCAGGTTTTCAAACAGAACACACTAAGACTTGGGATTTTAATACAGGGAACTTTTTCCACTTAAAATTTGATCTGGTGGTGCTTTCTGGGAGTCAGGTAGCCGTGAGAACAAAAAGTGGTGTAAAAATACAAAGCAGACAACAGATCTTATTGATGGGCTGTTTGCTGTGTGGTACATGTACACTACAATGTCCGTGTTGAAGAGGCATTGCATTTTTAAAAAATAAAATGCTGTCTTCTTTTTCATTTCCAGGTGAATATTGGGGGTAAACTTAGCTCACCATCTCTCTAGATAGTTCAGACTCATACCTGAAACTCAGTCAGTGTCTTACTGTTGGACATTGAAGTCCTGTCTTTGCCCTTTACAGGGAGGGGACAAAGTGACAGGTGCAGACCCCATAGCGATGGGCTTTCAGAGAAATCTCAGAGTTAGGCTATTCATATCTTAATAATAACATTCCAAAAGACACTAAATCCAGTGTCTACCTAGCATTCTTAGAAAACCCGACACAGCCAGGCATGGCGGCCCACGCCTGGAATCCCAGTGTTCAGGAGGCTAAGGCAGGGGACGATAATAAATTCAAGGACGACAGGGCTGTATAGTAAGGCCCTATCTCAGACAGACAAACAAAACCACAAGGACTTTCTTACTACTGTCAGATGGTTCTTGGCCTCAAAGAAATTTTAGAGTGTTGCCTTTTCTTTTCTTCTCTCTCTTCTCCCTCTCCTTAGCTTTCTTTCGGTTCTGTAATGTCAAAACTGTACCTAGGAGGGTATACAGTGTTTCACTTTTTGTGCCAAGGGACTATGGATGATGATGCGTGTGTAACAAGATGGTAATTGTGAAATAATTGCTTTTTAAATACTTCTGACACAAATGGAAAAAAACTGTGAAACCAGTCTACTAGGTTTGTTTGTCTGTTTTAACCATTATTTGTTTCTGTGTGTTCTCTAAATCATGGTTGTCGCATATTATGAAGTATGAAGTGTGAGCTGCAGCTACTATTTATCAACATTAAATGGCGTCTGCTTGAAAACCAAAGGAAACAGCCGAGTCATGCCTATTACTGCACAACACGGCAGGACTGATCTGAGAAAATGCCTCCTCCCTCTTGTTTTGAGAATAAGGATTTATAGTTTGGATTTTTTCAAATAGTAAGTGCTGTTAAAACTTGAACCTACACACCAAACCATATGAACTAATTTAATTTTAAAGAGTTTTATTTCTGTATGTAATTAAAGCTATTTTTCTACATTATTCAGAGTTTTAAATAAAAGCATTTTGGAGGTTTGTTTGCAGTATTAATTGCCTTTTAAAATTATTATACTTTGTGTGTGTGTGTGTGTGTGTGTGTACATGCATGTGTCCATGTGCTCATAAACCAGCATGGCAGAGTGTACTGTCTCTTTCTACTCTGTGGGTCCTAGGAATGGAACTTCATGCTCAGCAGTGGCTACCTTAACCTACTGAACCATCTTGCTATTCTTACGTTACCTTTATATACACTTACCCAACAAATGTTTCCTGAACTTCTACCCACTGCCAGACACTGCAGAGACAGCAGCGAACAAAATAGCTAAGGCTTTCTGTTCTTCCAGAGTTTGTGTTCCCATGGCAGAGGGAGACCACAAATACAATATTCTGCTGAATGCTAAGAGAAGCAACAAGGAAGTAAAAAAAACAAAAAACAAACAAACAAACAAACAAAAAAAAAAAAAAACCATGGTGTGAGGTTGGCAAACAGGGCAGCCTGGTAAGGATCTGCTGAAGTGACCTAAGTCCAAAGTGAGAAAGTGTGACCATGCTGATTCAGGAGCGAGAGGAGTACACGGCACAGAGGCCCCTTCCCAGGTACTTCTGTGGCAGTGTAAACCACTAGAGTTTTTCTTCTTGATCAGCAGAGTGTCATGAAGCTAGTCAGTCAGCTTCAGTCCAGTTTGCGAACTTGACTAAGCTCTCTCAGTGTTAAAGGTAACATTTCTAAGGAAGTACTTTCTTGTTGGTCTTGTATCACTGGATACAGGTAAGTGGATGCAGATGGTAACAGAGGAATAAGCAATGATATTGTCATCTGTCAAGTCAAACATGAGCATGGAGGGTGAGACAGTGGAAACGGCCCCGAAGGCAGCAGACTTGTTTTTCTGTCTTCAGAGATACCATGTCCGCTAGGGCCAGAGATAGATCCTGACCTTAAAAATACAGGCTGACTTGGAGAGGAATTGAAGTCATGCTTTCCTTAAGCTTTTGCAAGCATTCTTGTTGATGCACTTCATTACTTAAAGGAGACAAACATTTCACTACAGGTCTTGGCAAATAAAAAGCTGCTCTTTTCTGGAATTTGCAGCGGGCTTTACAAAGGGTTTTGAAATCAATGTGATAAGAAAAGTAACTTAAAAAACTATGAGTGATGATTAAAGTGGTTGCTTCAGGAAGATTATTCTGGGCACAGTATATTAAACAGACTGATTAAAAACACAGGCAGAGTTGGAGAGTCACTGGAAAACAAGCAGATGGAAATACACGGAACCAGAACTTGCCAGCTAACGTCATGAGCAGTAATCAAAATAGTAACAAGATTCCTGGTCTATGATCCTGGCCTAAATGCCTAGACACAAACTTAGAAAGGTAACAGCATGCTGAAGATACCAACAAGAAATTAGGTTCTTTTGTTCAAAAGAGCTAAAGCTCATCCAGCTCCTGTAAAAGCGTCTCAAGGTTCTGTATTTACTGACAAATGTCAAACATGCTTTAAAAAGCAATTAGGAATATGCTGCCATAGTGGGAGCCAGTGTATTTAATTAAAAAAAAAGCCAGAAGAAAAAGATATTCTGTACCAAAAGCAGCTTGAATGTGGTAACCAGCTTCTGATGAATCCTCAAATGTGGTAATAGGGTAGGCTTGTTGCACTTAGACCCTTTCAGGGACACCATGAGGTTAAAACTACTTTTGTAATGGTGTTGAAACTTGCTTTTTTCACTTTCATTCTGTCCTACTGATACAATGGAATGAATTTTCTAGGGGTTACATGTGTAATATTGCCCAAAAACCAAAGCAGTAATGTTTAGTCCAACTGTCTTTTGTCAAGTATAAAATTTTCAAAAGTATAGAACAACACTAATATACATATAGTATATATATTGTATAGAACACTAATATACATATAGTATATATATATTGGAAAATGTATTTTTAGGCTTTCTCCCTGGTGGTTAGTTTCCATAGTGCAGGAAAGTGCTATGTAGGCTGTTTGGGAAGAAAAGTCGGAACATTCTCACCCAGCTGTGAACCCCATGAGTTAAAATGTCAGTATACTGGACCAACTGTCCTGTCAAGCCTTCGTGTGCTTCAGTGACTTCAGTGACTTCTAGGGAAGACAGAGAAACACAAGGCAGCCTGAATGCTTCACTGCCTGAGGGAGTGCCTCGGTTCCTCAGGACCTGAAAGGCACACAGGATCCCAGAAACCATGGACTCTAACCTGAAAAAACTATGACATATGCCTCTCGAGGCACATAGACCAGGCCAACTCCATAATTCCCTGCAAGTAACCAGGATGAAAATGACTAAAATTCACTACATATATAAAAAACATTTAAATAAAATCATACTTTTATCTATGCATGGTGGTTCACACTCCGGAGACTAAGATGGGAATTTTGCCTTCATTGGTGGCTAGCCAGGGCTAGAGTTCACTAATTCTTTTTTTTTTTTTTTTTTTTAGTTTTTCTGAGACAGGGTTTCTCTGCGTAGCTTTGTGCCTTGAGTTCACTAATTCTTTTAATTGACTCACAATTAAAAGAATAATTCAAGGGCCATGGTGGCACATGCCTTTAATCCAAGCACTCAGGAGGCAGAGGCAGGCAGATCTCTGTGAGTTTGAGGCCAGCCTGGGCTACAGAGTGAGTTCCAAAACAACCAAGGCTACATAGAGAAACTCTGTCTTGAAAGCCAAAATATAATAATTATAAATTTTTGATTGCTATGCAATAGACTTGTCATTTTAACTGGGTAAGTACATTTTAAAAGATCTTTAATATGGTACTTGTCGGCATATTTAACAACAATAACAACAAAAAAGGTTTTTGTAGAGACTTCAGTAAGTTTTAAGAGAAAGGTTCTGTGGAGGAAAAAAAAGTTTGTGAATTGCTCTTTAGAAAGTCATTGGTTCTTAAACCTGCAAAGTAGAATACCCCCAAAGGGAGCCCCAGGCGTGATGGTGCATGCCTTTAGTCCCAGCTCTCAGAAGATAGAGGCAGGCAGATTTCTATGAGTTCAAGGTCAGCCTGGTCTACGTGCTAGTTCCTGGACTGCCCAGGCTACAAAGAGAAACCTGATTTTCCATAAAACCTGATTTAATGATTAGGGCCTAGCTTAATACATCAATGTAAACAAACCAACAACACAACACAGCACTGTCCTATCTCCCTTTTAATGTTCGTCCTCAATCAAGAATCACTATTGAATAGAAATTTCAGTTTAAATAAAATATGGCAGAGGAACATGTTGGCTTCTAGAGAAAAAATACCAACTCCGATGTCCAGGATGACTGGACAAATGGTCTCTGCTAAAGCAGACTGTGACATCTATATAAGCCAGGGGCTCACATAGCCCAGGCTGGCCTCAAATTTGCTGTGTAGCCAAAGGTGCCCACACCTGCAGGCATTACACACATGCAGCACCTGGCTAGAGTGTGGCTCCTGAGAAGCGGGAGGTAAACTAACTGCAAACTGAATCAGATGCGCTTAATCATAGTGTCAGTGGGTTGAAAGATCTTCTGCCCAGCAGGAGCACTCAGCGCCACCCCCCCTCCCCCCACCTCGCCTCGGACCAGCAGCTGTACACTGCGCACGCGCTCCTGGAAACACGTGTTGGGGTCACGTGCGCCACGCCAGGCCGTTGGGCGCGCCTGCGCAGCTCTTCGGCCTGCACCGGATGCGCTGTTCTCCCGGCATCCTTAGCGCTGCTTTCCCGCCAGGGTAAAGCCGAGTCGGTTTTCCGGTCCTCGTCATTGTCGCTTAGGTGTTGGTGTGGTGTTACAGCCGTCGGCTGTCCGACTTCTGTCCAACATGTCGAGCGAACCCTCCAAGAAGTCTTCAAAGAAGGTGCTGTTTGACCCCATGTCCTTCATGAAGGACCTGATGGTCGGCGGAGTCGCGGCCGCAGTGTCGAAGACAGCGGTGGCTCCCATCGAGCGGGTGAAGCTGTTGCTGCAGGTGCAGGCATCCTCCAAGCAGATCAGCCCCGAGGCGCGCTACAAGGGCATGGTGGACTGCCTGGTGCGCATTCCACGCGAGCAGGGTGCGTATGGTGCCACACTCGGCCTCTTCGTCCTGGGCACGGGTGAGGGTGAGGGGTGACTCCAGAAACGGTGGCCCAAAGAGAAAGGGGGTCACCCACAGCAGGAGTGGCATAGGAGAGGTGGTCCGGGGGCAAGGGGCTCATCCGGAAGAGGTTGACCCAGAGAGAAGGGGGTCACCTAGAGGAGGGATCGTACACGGGAGAAGGTGACCAGAGGGGATTATCTAGATGAAGAAAGTGAAACGGCAAGAAAAAAAAAAAAAAAAAGAGCCGAGCTGTGGTGGCGTATGCCTTTAGTCCCAGCATTTGGGAGGCAGAGCCAGGTGGATCTCTGTGAGTTCGAGCCAGCCTGGTCTACAGAGCAAGATCCAGGACAGGCATCAAAACTACAGAGAAATCCTGTCTCAAAAAAAAAAAAAAAAAAAAAAAAAAAAAAAAGTGACACGGCAGAAAGGGGGTCATCCCGAAAAGGGAGTCATTTAGGGGGCAGTGTGACAGCAAAAGGAGCGATCCAGAGGAATCTTCTAGATCAGGGAGTCATCCAGAGAAGAGGTGACCCAGAGGACAGGTTTACCCAGAGGAGGGGGTGATCCTGAGGAAGAGGATTGACCCAGTGGAAGGGGGGTCATTCAGAGAAGGGGTAACCCAGGGCAAAGAGATCATCCAAAGAAGGGGCCACTCAAAGGATAGGGTGACACCAGAAGAGGTGGTGCAGAGGAATCGGGTTACCCAGTGGAAAGGGGTGTGTTTTCCAGAGAAGGGGTGACCCAGAGAAAAGAGTGATGCAAAAGAGAGGAGAGGGTCAATCAGAAAAGGGTATGTAGGGTGGAGGTAGCTGCCAGCTTAGCCTAGCAGATGTTTTTGTTTGTTTCTTGGTTTGGGGTGGTGGTGGTGGTGTTTTGGTGAGTGTGCAGGAGCACGGTTTTTTGAGACAGGGTCTATGTAGCCCTTGCTAGCCTGGAATTCTTTATGTAGACCAGACTGGCATTGAAC